GCCTTGGGTTGGATCATGAGCACTACGTAAACTGGGCAGGATGTGCAGGCCTGTAACCCCAGCATTTGGGAGGTAGTCACAGGAAGGCCAGGAGTTCAAGGTGATTCTCAGCTACATGAGACCCTGCCTTAACAAAACAAAACTTTTTTATTTTTTAAGATATCTTGACATATGACTATTTAAGTCACTAGGCAAGGTACCAGCTGCAAGGACTCAGCCCTCCAGCACTAAGAGGTCTGAGAGGAACCAGGCATAGTGACATGCCTCTACACACATTTGTAATCCAAGCACTTGAAAAACTGAGTCAGGAGAACCATGAGTTCAAGGTTAGCCTGAGCTACATGGTATACACTATTTCAAAAACAAAACACAACTGCTGTAACTCCAGTTCTGTTCTGGGGATCTGATACCCTCTGCTGGCCTCCAGGGGCACCAAGCATGCATGTGATGTACATCCATCCATCCAGGTTAACACTTATACACATAAGTTTGTTTTTGTTGTTGATGTTTTAATTAAAAAACAAACTAGAGGCTGGGTGGTGGTGGTGCACACCTTTAATCCCAGCACTCAGGAGGCAGAGGCATGTGGATCTCTGAGTTCAAGGCCAGCCTGGTCTACAGAGCTAGCTCCAGGACAGCCAGAGGGCTACACAGAGAAAATCTGTCTGGGGGGGAAAAAAAACAAAACAAACTAGAGATCAGAGAACAGGAAGAAGCCCTGGGGTCAGCCACAGCAGAGCAGTGTCTGTTGCCAATGGGAGAAGGGGTTTCCAGGAGGGAGGAAGGACCCCCTGCCAGCAGGTCCTCTCAGAATGAAACCTCACCAGTGAAGGTCACTGGTGACCTTGACAGAAGGTTCTTCCACAGGGGAAGAAGGTTCTGCCAGGACAAACAGGTGTTCCGCTTGACAAAGCATATTAGAAAAAGGCACATAGTCTGGGGAGCTGAGCTGGCCCAGCAGAGGGTCCTGAATGGCTTCTTAGCCAGGAACTTTTTTTTTTAGGGCCCAGTGGGCACGCTGTCTTTAGGGCTAGTGTCCAGAATTCTTGGCATAGATCAGGGCTGACTGTTCAGTGGTTCCCCAGGGTGACATACCTACAAAGTACCTGTCATGTGGGTGGCTGCCACCAGAAGGTGCCTGAGTGTGGCAACGGCTCCCACAAAGAAGCCTCAGAGAGGAGGCAGAGTCGAGACAGCTCAGGTGGCCGTTCGGGGCTCAGCTTGTTCTGTATACAGATGGTGTTTCCGCCCTTCACAGACGCCACCAGCCTTTCCTGTGGTCCCAGTAAAACCATGGCTGTGTGTTAAGATTCACTCAGAGCCTGTGGCTCTTTCCAGGAATTCGCTGAAGGGTGGGTAGTCATTGAATTCCAGTCCTACCAGGATGCTACTCCCCAGACCTTGTCAAAAGTTACAGGCTGGAGGTATGGCTCTCTGGTTAGGAGCACTTACTGTTCCTAGTTTGCTTCCCAACAACACAGCTCATAACCACCGATGACTCCAGCTTCAGGGAATCTGGTGCCTTCTCAGCTCTGCGGGCAGCTACACATACACACACACACACATACACACACACACACACACACACACACACACACACACACACACACACGTCCTCCCCCCATACACATAATTAAGAAATTAACAATCTAAAAAGAGAAGAAGGTGATGATGATGATGATGATGATGATGATGATGATGATACAGCCTGGACAGAGACACGGAATCTTTACCCACCCGAGAGACTCCCATTGGTTTCCCATTGTCCTTGTAGTTTTCTCCCAGGTTTTACTTGGCAGCGCCGAGGATGAGGACCGGGGCTCGAGCACACCCGACACACATTCCACCCCTAAGCTACCGCTCAGACCCTTAGTTAGAACACACTCATCTACAAGAACAGCCTAGCAAGGGCTGGAGAGGGTTAAGAGGCCCCTCCCCCAAACTCCGCACACTGTCAGAATAGGAGCCCATCACCCCTTCTAGCTGCTCCTGGGCCAGTTCTGATGCCTCTTCATTCCTAGGCAGCTGATGACGTTGTTCTGCTACTTAAGAGCGCGTGTGGGGCTCCGTTGTGCATTCTGTCCGTCCAGCTCTATCTCACGCTAAGAGCAGCCGGGGGCTGCTGTCCAGGGTCGCTGTGTCTGCTGATCTAGGAGGGTTCTGCTCTGGGCTGTGATGGGCACCCTGTCTTCTGTGTGGTCGTGCGCTTTTGTGACAGTTGTCTCTGTAGATAAATTCTTAGAAGTGGGACATCAAGTCCAAGGTTACAGACCCCTCATTTTGAGACAATTTGTCTGCTTAACTGGTACGTCCTGTTACCTGTCCACCAGCTCCACTGAATGTGAGAGCCTCTTACTACACCCCTCCACAGACACACATACACAGTGGCCATCATCAGTCGGGTGTAAGTGGTGTCAGTCTGGAAGATGCTAAGAGATGTTTCCTTTTCACTCCTGGCCCTGTTTAGTCAGCATAGCTCAAGCCCCTGGACTTGTTGCTCGCTCGAGACACTCCTCAGCGAGAAGAGGTCCTGGGGTTGGATACCAAGGTCTTGGCTCGGGCGGATAGCTTACCTTTGTTGCTTCCTCTCTGGACGGGCACTGGGGAATTTATCATTGTGTACAGACGTGGTTCTGCCTACAGCCTGTGGGCGGCATTGTAACTGGCATGTATGTAACCCCCAGAAGCAGTGCTCCCCATCCTGTGGGCGGCATAGTAACTGGTGTATATGTAACCCTCAGAAGCAGTGCTCCCCATCCTGTGGGCGGCATTGTAACTGGCGTATATGTAACCCTCAGAAGCAGTGCTCCCCATCCTGTGGGCGGCATAGTAACTGGCGTATATGTAACCCCCAGAAGCAGTGCTCCCCATCCTGTGGGTGGCATATATGTAACCCTCAGAAGCAGTGCTCCCCCATCCTGTGGGTGGAGTTGCAACAGTTCTCAATTCTCCCCCCCTCTCCCCAGGGGGCCCTTAGGCGTTCTGAAGAGTCAGTCCTCTTGGGACCCAGGCACTGTCTGTGGCCTGAAAACCCTGGCAAACGCCCCCTCCCAAGAGTGTTCCAAATGAGTTCTAGCCTGAATGTGAGGCCTGAAAGTTAGTTTGGGGGATGGGGCAAGCCACGAGGGAGACCCAGACTTAACCTGCAGATATCTCCAGAGCTTTCGCCTCAGTTGACTGTCAGCCTCCATGTGTGTTGGGTGGTGTGTGCGTGTGTGTGTGTGTGTGTGTGTGTGTGTGTGTGTGTGTGTGTGTGTGCCATTTCACCTTAGTTGACTCTCAGCCTCCATGTGTGTTGGGTGGTGTGTGTGTGTGTGTGTGTGTGTGTGTGTGTGTGTGTGTGTATGCCCTAACAAGCAGACCTTTTCATTCTTAGAGTGGGTCAAGCCCTTCTTGGCTGTTTCCGGTTTTTTTGTTCCCTGGGGTATGAGAGCCCGGCACCTCACAGATAGCCTGAGAAGCATTTCCATCCACAGTACCTGCAGAAGGTCCCGACTCACCGGCCTCTCAACTCTGTCTCAGGTTGAGGGAAGGTGTTGGGAGCCGTGCGGCCTAGTTTCTGACCAGTATATGAGTGCTTGTCCAGCACGTCTCCTGATGAAGCAAAAGCCCATGGGGGCAGACTCACTCGGCAAGGACCAGTGGACTTTGGGGACAGCACAGAGTACTGCTAGCACCTCTCGGCCTGCACACTCTCTTCTCTCTCATAATATTGGTGATTCTCATGGCGGATTTAGTGTTATTTTGCCAATCACGCATGGGACAGATGTGATCATTCCTGGAAATCACAAGAATTCCTGGATTCATTTTTTTCTCGAATATTTTCTCCTAAAATTACTTGGGATGCTTCTCGGGTTTCTTGTCTGAGGTGCCAGCTGTCACTTCAGACCCCAGGAGTTGTTCTGATTCAGTGCTGACAGGATCGCAGGCAGATCACCCCTATTTCTGTAAATATGCTTTGAACGGGATTGTAATTCTTGAAAACGTGTGCCTAAGTCAAATACCTTTTAGTTTTGTAAAGACAGGATGTACCTGGCTCAATATCTGGCCAAGCTAGCAAAATGATAAGTGTTTTTGGTTTAAAGATGTTTTGGTGTAAACGTTAGAAGAAAACGTATTTGACTTATTTGTTTTTGCCGGAGTTAACATTGGAGGATGGGGAAAATTTGTTAGTATGGAAAAACATGCTTGTTTTTGATATATAAATAAAGACAGCTGGAGCTATTCAGGGCTGGCCGGTTGTGTGAAACTAACTCATCAGGTAGTCGGACAGTTCATTTCTTTGTGCCCGTGCCGACACCCCTTCCCCGTCTCAGGACCTGAACCCAGGCTGCGGCTGGACCTTGGCAGCAAAGTCTTTCCAATTGTGGGCCTGGCCTAATACAGTGAGTTCGTGGCTTAGAGACCCAGAGCCTTGGCTTGGGGCAGTTGGCAATCCTTGGTTCCCTGCAGGGAGTTTGCCAGGCAGAGCTGTGTGAGTGAACTGAGTGTGGTGGTCCATGAGGCCCTGGGCAGTGTTAGACCCTCTGTCCAGCTGGCATATGCATGCCCCTGACCAAGGGCCTCCTGTGGCCTTGTACTGTAGCCTCTCACTTTCCTGGGGCCTCGGAACCCTTGGCAGTCAATACCGGGCGGAACCTGTCATTTTTACCCTCCTTAGGTGTATATAGTTCAGGCTGGCCTGGGATTGACTGTGTAACCCAGGATGGCCTCAAACTTGCAGCAATCCTCCTGCCTCCACCTCCTGAGTACTGGAATGACAGATGTGAGTCACCACACCCAGTTTCCATCCTCTTTAAACAAAGGGTCCCAAGTGTAATGTCATGCATTGAAAAATCCTGTGGTCTTCCCGTCCACAAGAGCAGTATCTGCTTGTAGAAGCAGCATCAGGAACCGGGAAAGGAAAGAAAACCACAGTGACTCTGCGCCTGCAACTCACCCCGAAGTGTGTGGACCTTGTGTTGAGGGAGTTCATGCCTGACTTAGTGTCCCTCCTACAGGGAAGTCGCATCTGGCCATTGTTCAGAAGGTGAACAACGAAGGTGATTGTGACCCCTTCTACGAGGTGCTGGGCTTGGTCACGCTGGAGGACGTCATTGAGGAGATCATCAAGTCTGAGATCCTGGATGAGTCGGACATGTACAGTGAGTTCCGCCCTCTCCACGGGCCCAGAATCCCACTGTGTCTCTGAAATCTAGTATCCCTAGGTAGAAAGACTTCAGTGCAGGGGTGTGGAGGCCCTGGCCCCCTGAGCCAGGCCTAGTAGCTAGCTAGGTACCCTTCACAGGCTGTGGTGAGGAGGGGACACGATGCTGAACAGAGTGACAGGAGTCCTCCTCTGTCCTCCCTGTGGAGAGAGGCCAAGGAACTAGAGGGTCCGGGTCCAGTCCTCGGGTCAGGGATCTTAATTCCAGACCTTCCCTCTTACAGCTGACAATCGAACCCGGAAACGGGTATCTATGAAGAACAAACGTGACTTCTCTGCCTTCAAGGATGCTGACAATGAACTCAAAGTAAAAATCTCACCTCAGCTTCTTCTGGCTGCTCATCGCTTCCTGGCTACAGGTAAGAGTGTGGGAAGCGCCTTCGCTGTGGATGGGAGTCCAGTCACAAAGGGAGCAGCCTGGGCCTCTGGCCACGCCTCCCATGGAGAAAGGGCAGTGAGTGCCGGGACATGTTCACTTTGGAAGGGTCCGGGGATCGATCCCTCTTCTGCTCACCGTGAGTGGTTATCAGGGACTTGAGGGAACAGTCTAGTTAGTTTACAAAGCAATCCCTGAGACTTCCAAGGGAGTACCTGGGAGCCCCAGGCCCTTCAGACTGTGATCCTGCCATATACACTGCCCCCTGCTGGCCTGCTCACCTGCCCTGAAGAGCCTGTTCACAGCGCCATGCTTACCCCTCCAGCTTCCATCTGTATGCAGGGGAAGGCTTGTGCCCACAGATGAGCCTGCAGAGCTGACTTGTAGATCAGTGGCCTTTTTCTTTTATCATCTCTCATTCTAAGCACCCTTTGGGGCCCCGGGTGACAGTTCAGAAAAACACGGACCTCCCATGCTCTCGCCTTTCCTCCAGCTTCCTTTCTGGCTCACCTGCTGAAGGTGCAAGAATTCCTTTCCCTGTGTGTTTTCTTGCTGGTCGTCGCTGGTGCAGAAAGTAGCAGTTGTAGGAACACTTAATTAACATGTACAAGGGAAGAGTGTGTCTAAATGCTGTGCTGTCTCACTTTAACAGGAAACCACCCAGGGAAGGTTTGTCCCCATCTTACTGATGAGAAAACTGAGGCACATGACTTCACTTAGCTGCCCAAGCAGCATGGAATCTGTCAGCCTACATGGCTCTGGTACTAACGATAACTAGTATTCTTGTTATTATTATTATACTAACTAGTATTAGTTAGTACTAGTATTGTTAGTACTAGAAGCCCGAAGCAATAGCCCAAGCAGGGAGGAAGCCATCTTAGTACAGAGTGGCCAGGACCGCTTAGATGTCGGCACAGCAGTGACCCAGCTGCAGGGCCACCTGGTCCACGCGCCACGTGACGTCTCCTCTCTTTCCTGCAGAGGTGCCCCAGTTCAGCCCCTCTCTGGTATCAGAGAAAATCCTGCTGCGGCTGCTCAAGTACCCAGATGTCATTCAGGAGCTCAAGATTGATGAGCACAACAAGTACTTCAGCCGCCATTACCTGTACACCCGGAACAAGGCGGCTGACTACTTCATCCTCATCCTGCAGGTGAGCCAGCCTCTGACGCTGGGCCTCGGGGCCCAACGCCTGCGTGTCCCCCTTCCCATGAGCCACTAGAGAGTGTGCGGCCTCCCCCTGAACCTGTGTTCCAGGTTGCCCAGCGTCTCCCCCAGAGGCCACTCTTGTGCCCAGAGGTCGAGGCCCTGAGTGCTGCAGGCTCCGGGGCCAGCGTTTTGTAGAGATGCCTCGGTTTAACGCCTCTCTTATTGCCACACAGGCCTCAAACCAGCTCTCTAAGCCAGGTTGTAATCTTAACCCTGTGTTCTTTCAGGGGAAGGTGGAAGTAGAAGCAGGCAAGGAGAACATGAAGTTTGAGACGGGCGCCTTCTCATACTATGGGACCATGGCCCTATCCTCGCCAGCCTCGGGTGAGTTGTAGGCCAGGTCCTGGTGACCCACTGACACTTGGGATCCAGCGACACTGACCCTGACCTTTAGGCAGCCTTGATGGCTTGTACATAGCAGAAGGAGGCAGGTGAGGGCCAGAGCTGCCAGGCCTAGGGGAACAGAATGACTTTGCCCATTGGAAGGCTGAAGGCAAGAGAGGCAGAGAGGGTATCCTGAGGTAGTGAGGGGACCAGCCGCTATGGGAAGGAGTGTGCAGACAGGGATGGTCAGGGGGTCAGGCGGTTCCTGGGCTTTGGAAATGGAAATGATCAACGACCTTTGACCGCAGACAGCATGATGAGGTTAAAATGGGCCAGTAGGAGACCCCTGTACCATCATTGACTAGAACATCAGGGCAGGATAGGAGGCTCATGAAGTACTGGAGAATTGGGGTACACAGAGTACTGGTGTCAGGAGGTAGCGCAGAGCCTGCTCGCCTGGGAAAGTTGTAGATGACTTTAGCTCTCCAGGGCCTCAGTTACTGCCGTTTGGTCAGGTTTGGTTCTGATAATAGGGGCAGGCATTGGGAGCTGGGTCCCCTCAAGGATGACCTCTGGTCCTGGGTGGCTCAGGTGTCCCCTGTTTAAGAGGTCATGGGGAAGGGTGAAACCTCAGCACGCTAGCAACTCTCACCCTCCTGGACTTTACCCTGTGTGAACACTCTGACCTTGGCAGAGGTGTGCCAGCTTACTGTAGCAGGGGGAAGAATAAAAGCCATCTTTGGTGCCTAGAACAGGGTTTGCCAGAAGGGTATTAGCTGTAACTCTTAGAGAATCCTGGTGCCTCATTTGTCATATCCTTTGACAAGAAGCTCCCAATGCACAGGGCTGGGGCATCCAGGAATACCAACACAGCATAACCATTGCTTTCTCTGCCCATGGGTTAGGATGAGCCAGGGTACTGCAGGCTCCTGGGGCTAAGATCAAGGGCAAACAAGTTGGGCTACAGAGCAGGTGCCCCTTGCCCGAACATATCAGGACTAAGGAAGACTGAGCCGCCCCTGCTGAGAGCATCCTTGGTTTTTTGCTTAGGAGATTTTTGATATTTTGAAAAGGTCTTGCTTTGTGACTGGCCTGGAACTCTTCATCCTCCTGCCTTAGTCTCCTAAGATTCTAGGTGTGTACCCACCTAATGTTTGGGGAGCTCTTGTTCAGAAGGGCTTGAGGGTGGAAGGGACTCTTCCCAGTGCTGATGTAGAGAACTCTCTGGGTCTTGGGCACAGTCACTTGACCCTAGGTCATGACATTCCGTGTGGAGTTGGCTGGAAGGCAGGGGCGATGACTCTGGACACTTTCTCTGCATAGGGCTCTTTGGTCTGTCCTGAGCACCCTTCCCATCTAAGTATGTCCCTTAGGTGGGACTGTGGCCCACTCCCACCTTACCCTGCTTGAGGTAGCCTGGCCCATCAAATCTGCCTCTCCATCCTGTTCCTGTGGCTTGTGACCCTTCCCAGGTCACTGACTTCCTCCTCTGTTGCTCCAGCTCCTCCTGTGCAGGCTGGGTGTTCCCCTGGCAAGCTGAACTCCCTGCTCTCCTGGCTCTCAGGTAACATGGCATGCTAGAGAAGTGCACAGTGCCACCTGCTGCTAGATCTTTGTACTGCAGCTGCACTAATGACTCCCAGAGGAACCTGGGGACTTGCTCCTAGGCACACTTAGGGTCCAGCCTGACTCTTAATGGGTATTATCTCTGTGTGGCCCAGGGCTCAGTTTCTGGATGGGTCTGCCACAGTCTTGGAAGGGCCTTTCCAAGGGTCCTTAAGTCCTTGAGAAAGCATCACCCAACAGACACATAGGACGCTCAGATGATGGGTCTGAGAGTGGAGGATTGTTCCTGACCAAGCCAAGTGCGCACACTCAGCCTGTGGCTGCTGCTGGAGCCTGGAGGCAACGAAGCCCAGCCAGCCAGCACTCTGCTCCAACCCTCTCACAAGCCTCTGCGGGATGGCACGTCATCCCATCAGCTTTCTTAGTCCTTCTCATCCTTCTTCATAGCCTAATGAGCGAGACTACAGCATGGCAGGATGAGGCAAAGCCCCAGAGTAAGGCCATCCCTTTGCCTCTCTATCTACTGTTCTTAGCTAAACTCCACCCCTGTCTTGTTCTTCCCACTTGAAAAATGGAACTAACACTCTACCCACTTCAAAAGCTTGGGGTGGGAGCAATAAATGAGATAGTTGATGTAGAATATGCTTAGAGTCCAACTTTCATTATTTTGTTTTCTCTGTAACAACTAAAATGTGAGATTCCCACCAGCAAGTGCTTAGAAAAAAACCAAATGCCAGGTGCTGCATCTGGACTTGGCCTCTCCTAGGAATCATGGGAACAGTTAGCAACATTTAGTCCCCACATGTGTGTGAAGGACCCAGTCAGCCCTCAGATTCTGGCCAAGCTGATGAGCCCTGCACAGGTCAGAACCAACCCAGGCCCTGACAGCATGTCTAAAACTTGACAAGCCAGTCTGTTAGTTCTTGAGATAGATATATATTTTTTTGTTTGTTTGTTTGGTTTGGTTTGGTTTTTTCGAGACAGGGTTTCTCTGTGTAGTTTTGGTGCCTGTCCAGGCTGGCCTCGAACTCACAGAGATCCACCTGACTCAGCCTCCCAAGTGCTGAGATTAAAGGCATGTACCACCACTGCCTGACTTGTTTTATATTTTTATAATTAGTTGTTGTTGTTGTTGTTGTTGAGACAGGGTTTCTCTGTGTAGGTTTGGCTGTCCTGGAACTTGCTCTATAGACCAGGCTGGCCTCAAACTCACAGAGATCCTTCTGCCTCTGCCTCCCGAGTGCTGGGATTAAAGGGTCACCACACCCAGCTTGTAATTAGTTTAACCCCGCCCCATCCCTCTGTGTGTGTGTGTGTGTGTGTGTGTGTGTGTGTGTGTGTGTGTGTGTGTGTGTGTGTATGTATGTATGTATGTGTATGGAACCCAAAGCTTTCACACATACTAAACAAGTACTCTACCACTGAGCTAAATACCCAGCCCCTCAATTTTTACTTTTCTTGTGTGATTTTTTTCTCTAATGTTTCACAGTACATGCTATCCTGACTCCCTGTTTTAAAAATGGTGACTTAGTTGTCACACACTGCTTTAGCCCCTCCCTCCATTCTTAGTCTTAGTTCATGAATGGCCAGGAGTTTATACATCTGTAGCTTGAACCCTGATGTTTGTGTCCGAAATGAATGCTTTTCTATAAATCCCCTCGTCAGGGCAGGCAGGAAGACTCAGAAGGTAAAAGCTCTGGCCTCATAGCCTGGCAACCTGAGTCCAGTCCCCAGAATCTGTGGTGGTATGAGACAACCGACTCCTGAAAGTTGTCTTCTTAGCTCTGTGAGTGCACCATAGCGTTCACGTACCCACATGCCTGTTTATTCCTGCACGTGAACACACACAAGTTAAAAGAAAAAATTCAAATAAAGGGGCTGGAGAGATGACTCAATGGTTAAGAGCACCGCATCCTCCTCCAGAGGTCCTGAGTTCAATTCCCAGCTACCACATGGTGGCTCACAACCATTTGGGATCTAATGCCCTCTTCTGGCATGCTGGTGTATATTCAGACAGAGCACTCAGATAAAATACATAAGTAATTGTTTTTGTTTTTTTTTTTTTTTAAAGATTTATTTATTGTGTATACAATGTTCTGCCTGCATGTATCCCTGCAGGCCAGAAGAGGGCACCAGATCTCACTACAGATGGTTGTGAGCCACCATGTGGTTGCTGGGAATTGAACTCAGGACCTCTAGAAGAGCAGTCAGTGCTCTTAACCTCTGAGCCATCTCTCCAGCCCCATAAGTAATTGTTAAAAATTGTTTTAAAAAATAAAAGTAGAGGCTGGAGAAATGGCTGGGTGGTTACGAGTGCAAACTGCTTCTGTAGAGTACTGAGCTCCAGTTGCCTGCACCCACGTGGCACCTTACAATGCTTGTAGTTTTTCTTTTCCTTTTTTAAAAACACTGGATCTTACTCTGTAGGCTAGAATGGCTTTGAACTTGCTATGTAGCCCAAGCTGGTTATGCATGCCAGGTAGGACGGGGAACTTTAAATTCAGCTTTTGGGACTACTCAGTGACAGAGCTTTTGACTGGTGTGTTCCAGGCCCTGGTTTTGATCCCCAGTGCTACAGTAAACAAACAAAGTCAGCTTTAGTAAACATTAACTAAACATAACATAAGTAAACATAACATAAACAGTGTTAGTAAAAATTAACTAAAGAGCATCTTGTCATTCAAATAATTAAGATGAAATTTTTTTTTTTTTTTTTTTTTTTTTGGTTTTTCGAGACAGGGTTTCTCTGTGTAGCTTTGTGCCTGTCCTGGATCTCACTCGGTAGCCCAGGCTGGCCTCGAACTCACAGAGATCCGCCTGCCTCTGCCTCCCGAGTGCTGGGATTAAAGGCGTGCGCCACCACCGCCCGGCGAAATATTTTTTAAATTTTATTACAGTTTGTGTGTGTGTGTGTGTGTGTGTGTGTGTGTACAAGCACGTATGCTCATGTGCACATGGGAAGTCAGAGAACAGCTTGTGGGAGTCTGTTCTCCCCTTCCCCTCTGCAGGTCCAGGGGATTGAACTCAGGTCGTTAGTCATGGCGGCAAGTGCCTTTACCTGCTGAGCCACCTTGCTGGTCTTCCAGTGGCCCTGTTTTCTGGTGTTAGTAGTGGAGCCATCACCCAGTCACTGAGTCATCAGACTATGTGTCCTAGTTTTTTCTACGTGACGATCACAGCCGCATGTGGCACCCGCCTAGTCTTCTTAACTCGGTGACTAGGAACCTAATAGCTCCGTGCTCAGACCAAGCCCCCTCGCTCTTCAGAGTCAGCTTCTCTGTGCACCCCATTGTTCTTTAAGTGTTCTCATAACTAAGAGCCAAGGATGGCTGATAACTTAGTTTCTTCTCGCTTCCTCTGGACTCGAGTTACTACCCTTGCCTGGGGAGGGAGGTCTGTGCTGCCTTTGGAACCTCTGGCTTTCTGGGGCAAGGGCCCGTTCACCCCATTCCTCTGCCAGGGTTGGGGTTACACAGAGAGCACACCTTTGACCCTCTTAAGAGCATGACAGGTATTGTGTTGCCAGGGTAGAATTCATAGTGAGAACGCAAACTCTATGTCTTTCCTTTTTCTTGAGACAAGGTTTCACTGTGTAGCCGAGGCTAATCTAGAATTCATGATCTTTCTCACCTTGGCCTCCTGGGTGCTGAGATTACAGGCATGTGCCACTCAGCTCAGCCTGTGTGTTCTTCCTTTTAATAGATGTGCTTTGTCTTAAAATCCACAGTTTACAGCAGTTATGGTGCTGTGTGCCCATAATCCCAAGGCTTGGGAGGGAGGGAGGGAGACTGAATTGGAGGCCGACTTATGCTGTACAATGAGACCTTGCTTCAAAAAAGTTTTTAAAATATTTTACATTTTTTGTTTATTCCTGTCTGCATGAATATATATGCATATATGGGTGTGTGCGCCTCTATGTGGAGGCCAGCCAGAACTTATCAGATCCCTTGTCAATTGAGTTACTAGTGTTGACTGGAAACCAGGCTTGATGCAGGGGTGCTGGGATCCCAGTGCCAAAAATCCTCATCATTATGCAACAAGCACTCTTCACTGAGCCATCTCTCCAGACCCTCTCCCGATTTTTGTTTTGTTTTGTTTTTCGAGACAGGGTTTCTCTGTGTAGTTTTGGTGCCTGTCCTGGATCTCGCTCTGTAGACCAGGCTGGCCTTGAACTCACAGAGATCTGCCTTCTGCTGCCTCTCCAGTGCTGGGATTAAAGGTGTGCGCCACCGCCTGGCTCCAATTTTTTTTTAAGTGTAGGTCACTTGATGTAAGTTGGCGTTAGAATAAGATAGTGGTTTGTCTATGTCACATGTGGGAAATCATTGTGTTATATTGACTAATGAGGAGTTTTTGTAGCCATAAATGTCTTGGTTTTTATTTTCTGGTTGGTTTGCTTGGGTGGCATTCTTAACACCTACCATGTGACACTTTTAAGCACACTAACTCACTGACCTGTGTGTACTTCTGTTTGCCCCTGAGAACTGTGACCTCTTCCTGGTGGGGACATGGTTAGAGTCCCTAACATCCATGTCTGAGGTCAGACAAGGAGCTGGGGTGGGCGCCAGGGGAGGCAGGCTCTGTGATTATCTGATTATCTGCTGTCCCTACAGACCGGTCCCCAGCCCACCCAACTCCACTCAGCCGCTCGGCCTCCCTCAGTTACCCAGACCGCAACATAGACATGACGCCCTCCTCATCCCTGGCAGGCAGCAACCAGTTTGGCAGCTGCATTCTGGGCCAGTATGTGTCTGACTTCAGTGTCCGAGCGCTCACAGACCTGCAGTACATCAAGGTAAGTGCCTCCCACAGTTTTCCAGTTCTCTAGATAGCTCTGTTCTGGAGCCAGCATGGGCAGTCCAGACCTGAACACTTTTTTTTTTGTCTTTAAAAAAAAACTTAGATGTCACTTATTGTATTTCTCTTGTAGTCCTGGAGATATAGCCAGGCTGTCACCCATGCCAGGCCAACAGTGTACCACTGAGCAACATTCCTAGCACTTCTTGTTTTTTGTTTTCTTGAGACATGGTCTGATTGTAGTCCAGGCTGGCCTCAAGCTCTGAAAATGTCCTGCCTAGGACAATTGATGATGATGGTGGTGAGGTGTGTGTGTGTGTGTGTGTGTGTGTGTGTGTGTGTGTGTGTGTGTGTAGGTCAAAGGACAAAGAACAGAGTTAGTTCTCTCTGTCCACTTTTCCATGGGTTCTGGGGATTGAACTCAGGTCCCCAAGCCTGTGTGGCAGGTGCCCTTCCCTCCTGATCCTTCTCGCTGGCCCCTGGAACACTTTTCCTTCCAGCTCTTCTGGCCTTCCACCTGGCCACCTCTCTCCTGGCCCCGTCTGGCTGGATCCTCAGCCCTGCATGTCACACCCCTTCTCTCTCTCTCTCCTCCCCTCCCTCTGCAGATCACGAGGCAGCAGTACCAGAATGGGTTGCTGGCCTCCCGCATGGACAACAGCCCTCAGCTGGCCTTAGACAGCTGTACCACCTGCTCGGAGAACTTTACCGAGAAGTCGGAGCTGCCTGTGGTGGATGAGACCACGACGCTCCTCAATGAACGCAACTCTTTGCTGCACAGAGCCTCCCAGGACGGTGCCATCTGACAGGAGGGCCCGGGGACTCCTGCCTGCCCTGCGGGGGTCTCCCCAGTGGGCCCACATGACGTCAGGGAGCCTGTTAGGCTAGAAGGGGTGCAGGTAGATATCCTGCATGACCGAGCAACTAGACATCCCTCCCAGGGGATCGATCTGGCTGCAGATGGGGACCTCTTAACAGCTCTGACATGATGCCTGCCCAGCCCAGCTAGTGAGCAAAGGCTGTTTTTGTCTTTTTTTTTTTTTTTAAACACTGAGAGAATTTTTAAGCTAGGCTCATTGCTCCTCTTTTTAAATATCATTTTGGGAAGGGAAGACAGGGTTAAGGAACTTTATGTTAAAAAAAAAAAAAAAAGAATTTTTTTTTTTTTTCAAGAAACCCAAAGGGGAGGAGGGTTCCTCACCCCAGGAAGCAACAGCCATAACCTGTTCCTGGCCAAGACCTTTCAGCCTGTGTCTGTCGCTCTAGGAACCATTCTTCTGCAGCAGTGGGGGCCTGGAGCCCACAGGAGGGGGCTCCTGGGAGGAGAACAGTTCTACCTAGGAAGCAGGGATCCAAAGGATACTGACATCCACTGCTAGGACACACGCACTGAGGTCACTGAGGCTGAGAGGTGCTGGGGAACTGTTCAGGGACACGATGACCCACCCCGGCAACAGAGAGGACTACATCTGCTCCAGGATCCAGTGATCTCCTAGAACTCCGTCCACAGGCTCTGCTGCTGAGTCAGGACTCAGCTGAGAACCACCCCCCCCTGGCTCTCATCGATCCCTTTGGACAATTCCCTCCTGTTAGGGTCTGGCTCCAAGAGTTAGGCGTGGTCTTTGGCTCTACCGTTGCTTATCTGCTTCTTGGCCATGCGCTCTGTTTTACCAAAGGTCCCCCCTCAGAGGGGACAGCACCTACTTTAGAGGTGACTTGTCGGATACCCCTTCTGGTTCCAGGGCTGAATGTGACCGTAGGTATCTGTGTTAACAGTTACTACTCTACCACCCACAGCTGCAAGAAGAGTCAGGGTTCAGAAGTTCACCCAGGAAGACTTCTTCCCCAGCTCCCCATTCTTATCTCTATACTCATCCCTCTAGGGACTGGGGACAGGACATGTTGGAAGCCACCCAAGCTGGGTCATCACACCCTTGCCTGTGTAACTGGCTGAGGGTCACCTGACCTCTTTTGCCCACTTAAGGACCCCCAGGAAAGGAGGGTTTCATCTAATGTATTCACTCCTTTCCTCAGCCAGTGGAGTCCTGTCACCCCAAGTACTCTGCTGTCTATGTACCCAGAGAATCCCACCTCCTAGGGGTGTCTTGTACCCCTGGCCAGGCTGAGGTCTCCTCCACTCACAGAACTTACTCCTAGAAGCCCAGAGAAGAAGGTGGTTTTCAACTATAAGGGAAAAAGACACCAGACCTCCAAGCCCTTAAGAAACCCTTAGTTTTCTGTCGGTGCAGCATGCTCCCAAGTCCCTAGAGGAGCTGCCAGCTGTGTTCCTGAGAGACCTAAGTGCCAGGTAGAGCAAAACCACGTGGTTGGTGTGAAGCAAAAGTAGCAGGTGCATACACTTCCACAGCTACCTCTCTGCAGACACAGTCACCACCAACAGACAGGCCCCTCCCCTCCCAGCCCGCCCTCCCCCTCCCACATTTAGAATCACTTCTTGCAGAGGGTCATAATTATTTCCAAATATTACTGGTCTGATGACTTCCTCCTCCCAGCGCAATTTTTCACTTCCTCATCCAACCTCTGGTTCCTGGGCTGAGCCATACCCTGGAACTGGCCTCGTCCGTATGTCTTCCCAGGTAAGGAAGACTTTGCAGGTGGCATCCAAGTGGGTAGGCAAGTCACAGTCGCCGTAGCAAATGACTCCTATTTATTTTGCATTAAGATTTTAATTTGTATATTTTTGTGATTTATTTTGGCATTGTTACGAGTTTGACTCTCGGGGAGTTTTGTTGTTATGACTCTTGTGTCTTTTGTCACAAAACAATGATAATATTTGCTAAACAATATATGGAATTTATTTTTGATTGGTAATAAAAAATGAAATGCATATAAGTCTTGGTGAGCATATAACTCGGGTGTTTTGCTTCCGGACATATTTACTGTATACTGTAGAGACAGAAATGACTGGCTATCACTTGTGACAGGACAAGGGCGGTTGAATGTTCTGGAACTGTTTGGAAGTGGAATGCAAGCAGAACTGTTAACTTACAAAATGGTATAGTCACGGAAGTGGTCACAGGAGTCGTGGAGTGGTAGCTGTTCACAGAAGCAGGGCAAATAAATCAGATGTCATAGGATTCAATTTGTGAGTGCTGGGATGGGGCAGCTGGGATGAGCAAATGGCGCTTCTTCCCTCTCTGGGGGATGAGGGCTGTTTGGGATCGTGTTGTTTCACAACACGCAGAGGCTGCTTTTTGTGTATACTGATGAGCTGGTGTGCTTTCTGGGATGGGGTGTCCATCTCCTGAGACAGCTGACTGAGGTTTTCCTCGCTGTATCACTCAGAATCGCAGCTGTGGAACCCTTTTGTGGCATGCACACATCCTGAAAACTAGCATGTGCAATCCTGTGCTCCAAGGCCAGAGAATCAAACAAGCAAAGATCCACATTAAACTGGAGGTTGTTTTGCTTGTGCTTGGAGTGTCAGATTGGGGGTGATCCCCTTGCCTCCACCTCCTGAATGTTAGGAATGCGGGAGTGCACCACCATGCCTATGTTTTTTTTTTTTTGGGGGGGGGGGTTGTTGGATTTTGTTTTTGTTTTGTTTTTAGACAAGGTTTCTCAAATTATGTACCTCTAGCTATTTTAGAACTTGCTATGTAAACCAGGCTGGCCTCGAACTCACAGAGATTTATCTACATTTGCCTCCTGAGAGCTGGGATTAAAGGCATGTGCCACCATGCCTAGCTCTGGTTTTGAGACAAGACCTTGCTCTATAAAAGGTGGCTAGTCTCCATTTGCCTCCCTTTCTTCCATTACCCTGGTGGAGCTGGACATGCTGGCAGGTGGAATCCCAGCACACAGGAGGCTGAGGCAGTAAGATCATGAATTTGAGGTTAGCCTAGGCTGTATAGGAAGACTCTGTCAACGAGGGGAGGGGAGGGAGGAAGGCACTTCGGTAGTCAACAAAGAGAATATCCCAGATGGAAGGGTAACACAGATATGTGTATACAGGGGTGGGAAGAAATGCCATCCATCTGTCCATCCCAAAGATATGTTTGGTGCTGAGCTCCTGCTACACATGAGCTGCTACCAGCCCCTCAGTGAGTTTTGCGAGGAAGAGCCCCAGAAGGGATCATCACTCAAGGCCTTTGCCCTTTTGTCACTGACACCTAGGACATTTCTTCCCAGTCGATAAGGCTTGCCCCTCATTTCATTTAAACCTCTGCTCAAAGGTCACCTCCGTAGAGAAGCCTTCCTTGATTACCTTCATGTCAGAGATAGCATCTCCTTAAAGTTTCCTTATTGTCTCTGTATAACACTTTCTGCTAGATCTTCTGTTTTCCAGCACGATTCTGAGCACCACGAGGGTGAAGCTTTTGTCCCTGGCAGAGTCCCAGCCTTTAGAAAGGTGCCTGTCCTGCATGCACTCAGGGTAGGAAATGCTTGTCAAAGGAGCAAATGAAAATCTTGGCTGGATCCTTGACCCAGTCTAATCAATGTATCAGGGAAGATCATACTGAGTGAGGGATGTTTGAGCTAAGAAATGCAGAAGCCAGCCAGGGAGGTCAGACTGCATAGCTGTGAGGGTTTGGCTTTGTTACATTCTTCTGTTTTAAAATTGTATGTTTGTGTGTGTGTGTGTGTACACATGCACCATACAGCACATGTGTAGAGGTCAAAGGACAACTTTGTGGAGTTGATTCTCTCTTCCCTTTACATGGGTTTCAGGGATTGAACTCGGGTGGGCAGTAGGTGCCTTTATCCACTGAGCCATCTCACCAGGCCATGTTTTGTTTAATACAGGGTCTCTTTGTAGCCCAGGCTGGCCATGAAATTTCATTTACCCTGCCTCTGCTTCCTGAGTGCTGGGATTATAGTAGTTATGAGTTTTAAATAATAATGAATACATGTTTTGCCAGGCAGTGGTGGTGCACACCTTTAGTCCCAGCACTTGGGAGGCAGAGGCAGGCTGATCTCTGAGTTTGAGGGCAGCCTGGGCTACAGAGCCAAGACAGCCAGAGCTACACAGAGAACAAACAAACAAACAAATAAATGTTTTGATAAAAAGTAGAAATGGTCTGTCCTAAATGACCACTAAAGAAAATGTCCCAGGGAGCACCAGTAAGAAACCTAAATGAAAGTCAAGTGTCTCCATGGAAGTCGTGATGGACCAGAGATGGGGCAAAGAAGGACAGAGAGAAAGAGTCCTCCACACTGAACCACCACACGAGCAGCCTGGATTCTTCATATGCTTGGATGCTGACAGTTTAAAGGACCATCTGTTGTTTTCCAAATCTTACTCAATCTTCTTTTACTCAAGGTTTTTAGCCTCAAAAAAAAGTAGAGAAGGGAGAAAAAAAGTCACTTGAGTTCCTTCCTCTCCTGTAGGTTGTTCTTGCTAGCTGATGGCTTCAGACATGTGACTCATTTCATGCACACCATCTGTTCTCTCTTGGTGTCAGCATTTTATCTTGACTCGGAGACACAGTGAAAACTTAAAGGTTGAATCCACTCTAAAGCTCTGGGACTTTTTTCCTTAAAGGCAGCAAGACAGCTCCAATGCAAAAGAGCAGCCATGTCTTAATTGCTTCTACTGGTAGCTTGTTCTGTCATCCGAAAGAGGCAAACTTCTTGTAGCATACAGTACTGCTCAGATAATAAAAACAGGGAAGCAGAGATGTGATTCGCCAGCCACTATTCTGAGTTTATAATGTAAAAGAATTACTGCCAACTTTGTAAAGACTTGGGGAAAACTTTTAGTTTTTTTTTTGTGTGTGTGTGTGTGTGTGTGTGTGTGTGTGTGTGTGTGTGTAACCACCTTAGGGTCCTCTGCAAGAGCAGCATGTACTCTTAACCACAGAGCCATCTCTCCAGTCCCTTGTTCTGATTTTGAGACAGGATCTCACTATATAGCCCTAGCTGGCCTCTGCTAGGATTACAGATGTGCTGCCATATCTGGATCAGATTTTTTCACAAAACATTTTCCCTCTTATCTTTCCTCATGGGCCTCTTTTTGCACCTTATCTTCTACACAACTTTTGACCATATTGCACATACTTTTTTAGGTTGGTATTTTCAGGGCAGTGAGTTACGTCTACAGAATCCTTTTTTTTAAATCATTTAATGGGCTGGAGAGATGGCTCAGCAGTTAAGAGTACTTACTGCTCTACAGAAGAACTGGTTCCCAGAACCCACGTGGTGGCTCACAAATGCCAGGAACTCCAGTTCCAGGATATGCAGTGCCCTCTTCTGGTATCCTTGGGCACCTACACACAGTGCATATACACACACTTGAGTCCACACATACACATAAAACAAAACTAATCTTTCAAAATATTATTTAAATTGACATGTATAACAAGTGTACTTGTACTAGGACTCGGGGGGAGGGGAGTATAGAGAAAAATATAAAGTATGTGGATACTGTAGAGAAGTTAATCACAAAGACCAAATGCAAAGGGTGAAGAACACGCCAACAAATTGATGTATTGTCTTCTAAAATGAGGACATAAGGATCCTCTACCCGAGGAATCAGGATAAACTGTGTTGTGAAGCTAGCAAATACGAAAATTCCTGACAGCTGCTACCTCCTTGCATTGCTGGACGACCTGGAGTCAGGTCGCACATCAGAACCCAAAGGCTCACACAGTCTGTGAGCATTGCTTTCCCTTGTGAGATTGATTACATGAAGCAGCTGTGAGGATTCAAGGAAACTGATGTTTAAGGGTTTGAGTATTTACTATGGGTCTCCCTGTCAGGGCAACTCCTCAAAAGCAAGTGTGTGTCTTGATGTCTACAGAGTCTGACGCAAAGCAGGCACACCCTTCAAGAAACCTTAGTGTTTTTTTTGTTTTTTTGTTTTTTTTGGTTTTTTGAGACAGGGTTTCTCTGTGTAGCTTTGCGCCTTTCCTGGAACTCACTTGGTAGTCCAGGCTGGCCTCGAACTCACAGAGATCCGCCTGGCTCTGCCTCCCGAGTGCTGGGATTAAAGGCGTGCGCCACCACCGCCCGGCGAAACCTTAGTTTTAAAACAAATCAATGGGGCTGAAGGGCTGGCTCAGAGGTGAAGAATGCGTGCCGAGGACAGTTCAATTCCCAACACACCACCTCACACCAGCTAGTAACTCCAGCTCCAGGGGGAATCCGACGGCCTCTTCTGGCCTCCTAGAGCACTGCACTCGCATGCAAAAACCCACACACACACACATAACTAGAAAATAAATCTTATAAACAAAGAACCTCTGGCTTCCGTGCACCCAGTCCCTGGTTCGTATTCAGCTCTAAGCCTTGCAGGCTAGGTGGTTAACAATCTTCCTTTCCTCCTACACACGCGCGGAGACCCTTAGGTCGTCCCAGACCGCCGCTCGGAATCCTCCCTTGCCGGCCGAGCCCCACGCCCCCCGGCCCCCGGCCCGCCCAGCGCCGCTTGTTTACTCCCCGGCGCAGCCTAGTTCTCCCCGGAGCCCGCCCCCGCCGGCCGCCTATTGGTCTAGGTGACACGAAGGCCTGCTCCGATTGGCCGCGGCGACAGAGGCGCGGGTGAGTAGGGTAGGCTGCGCCTGAGGCCCAGAAGGGGTAGCAGGCCATGGCGGCGGCGGCGGCTGCGGCTGTGGCGGGTTGGCTGGGCTGGGTGCTTGCCGCGCTCTGTCTGGGCAGCACCGCGGGGGAGGCGGCGCCGGGAGCGGGACTGCTGGGCTTCTGCATGGAGGAGGACAGCGCGCCGGGCGCCGGCTCGCTGCGCGGAAGGGCAGCGCCGGAGGCCACTTTCTGCTTGCGACTCTTCTGCTCCGGCTTAGGCAACAGCTCCTGGACCTGGGTGGCCACGGAGGGTGCAGGCTGCCCCGAGGGCGGGCGGGCCACGGAGCCCGAGGAGGCGGCCGCCCCGACGGGCGAGTGGCGTGCCCTGCTGCGCCTGCGCACCGAGGCCGGGCGCCCGCGCTCCGCGCTGCTGGCGGTGCGCGTGGAGCCGGGCGGCGGGGCAGCCGAGGAGGCGGCGCCGCCCTGGGCGCTGGGGCTGGGGGCGGCCGGGTTGCTGGCCCTGGCGGCCGTGGCGCGCGGCCTGCAGCTGAGCGCTCTGGCGCTGGCGCCGGCCGAGGTGCAGGTGCTGCGCGAGAGCGGCTCGGAGGCGGAGCGCGCGGCTGCGCGGCGCCTGGAACCTGCGCGGCGCTGGGCCGGCTGCGCCCTGGGCGCGCTGCTGCTGCTGGCCAGCCTGGCGCAGGCGGCCCTGGCGGTGCTGCTGTACCGAGCGGTGGGCCAGCGCGCCGTGCCCGCGGTGCTGGGCTGCGCGGGGCTGGTGTTCCTGGTGGGCGAGGTGCTGCCGGTGGCTGTGAGCGGCCGCTGGGCGCTGGCGCTGGCGCCGCGCGCGCTGGGCCTCAGCCGCCTGGCGGTGCTGCTCACCTTGCCCGTGGCGCTGCCGGTGGGCCAGCTGCTGGAGCTGGCAGCGCGGCCGGGGCGTCTGCGTGAGCGCGTGCTGGAGCTGGCGCGCGGCGGCGGCGACCCCTACAGCGATCTGAGCAAGGGCGTCCTGCGCTACCGGACCGTGGAGGACGTGCTCACGCCCCTCGAAGACTGCTTTATGCTGGACTCGGGCGCGGTCCTGGACTTCGGCGTCCTAGCCAGTATCATGCAGAGCGGCCACACGCGCATCCCCGTGTACGAGGAGGAGCGCTCCAACATCGTGGACATACTGTACCTCAAAGACTTGGCCTTCGTGGACCCTGAGGACTGCACGCCGCTCAGCACCATCACCCGCTTCTACAACCATCCGCTCCACTTCGTCTTCAACGACACCAAATTGGACGCCGTTCTGGAAGAGTTCAAGCGAGGTAAGGTGCTGTCCCTGGTGGAGAGAGGGTCTCACCCCTCCAGAGAGGCACTAAGACTTGACCTTTCCCAGAAAGTGATGGCCTTGAATCTGGGAGTGACCTTTGGAAATATTTAAAGACCGACTTTTAGACGCGGGAAGGAAGTGCTGTGTGTCTGGTGCAGGAGGATCGGAAGGTGGTTCCAGGCCAGCCTGGGTTATGTAGTAAGACTCTATTTATTTAAAAAAAAAAAAAAAAAAAGTGAAGATGTAGCTCAGTGTTTGCCTAACATACACAAAGCTCTGAGTCACTACATAAACCCAGGTAGTGGCCTACCTACTTAGAAAGATGGAAGCCAGTCTGGGCTAAAGATTATGTCTCAAAGCTAAATGAATGAATAAAAGCCTCCCGCGGTCCCTCTCCCCTCATTGGCAGCAAGCATGTCTGCTTGGCTCTAACCCCAGAGGTTCCTTTGTCCTGAGCCGTCTCTGTGCACTTGGGCTTCCAAGCTCACCCAGATTCTTGGATAGTAACTAAAAGGATGTCAAAAGGATAAGGTAACTGGAAATGGTTATCTTCGCCTATTTAACATTAAATTAGCAGGACCTGTGATGTTTCCTGACCCTTCTAGGTTGCAGGACAAGGAAGGGACTCATAAATACTTTTCTACAGGTACTGAGAAAACTTTCATTTAATGTCGTTGAAAGCAACATCATGAATAATTTAATTTCCCTTCCTGCTTTTTTCCCTTAAAGTTTTTTTTTCCTTCAGATTTTTATTTTTATGTGTATGAGTGTTTGCATGTATTATATCTGTGAACCACGTGCATGCAGTTCCTCCAGAAGCCAGAAGAGGGGGAGGGGTTCCTTGGTACTGGAGTTACAGACAGTTGCTAGCCGGCCTGTAGGTGCCGGGAACTGAATCCTGGGTCCTCCAATGCTCTTTAAGCACTGAGCCATCTCTCCAGCTTCCTCCCTTTTGTTTAAATTGTTTTTTCAGGGAAGGCAAGTGCTCTTCCCCTAAGCCACACCCCCCATTTCTATTTCCATGCTCCCCTTTTTCACCTAAGGTCTCTGGGATTCTCCCTTAACTCTACATTTTTCACCAACTCCTTTCACTGGTTTGTTTAAGCAGCTTTTTAAATTTTTTTTTTTTTTTTTTTTTTAGGATTTACTTATGTGTATGAGTGTTTTGCATGTCTGATGCCTGAGAAGGTTGGAAGAGGGCTTTGGATCCCCTGGAACTGGAGTTATGGATGGTTGTGAGGCATTATATGAGTGCTGGGAACTGAACCCATATGGCGGGTGGCTCACCATAGGTGACCTGAAACCCAGGTCCCATCTGTTAAGGTTGATAGTAAAAACCGTGAGGCTCTCCAAATGTTAACATGTGGATTCCTAGCGGCACTGGTGGCGCGCACCTTTAATCCCAGCACTTGGGGAAGGCAGAGGCAGATGGATCTCTGAGTTTGAGGACAGTCAGGGCTACACAGAGAAATCCTGGGGGGGGGGAAGAGGGGCCAAAACTACAACCAAAATAATGTGGGTTCCTCTATAGCACTCTACCGTCATCCTTGGGGTGCTCTCCAGAGCCTGGGTGTTCCTTGCCCACCAGATACCCTTCCTTGGAGGGTAGGGGTGGATGTACACCAGGGCTCTAGGTGGACTAAGCTGCATGATAAGAAGTGGCGGATGGAGCAAAACCCCTTTGAACTGGCAAATCTTCTGGCCCCAGGTCCACTCAGCCCCTGGACCGTCAGTACAAGAGGCAGCTCTTGGCAATGAGCACACTACTCTTGTATTGAGTGCAGCGTGTGCCAGACTCTGACGGGCACTCTGCATGCCAGTCTCCCTTTGTCTTTGCGGGAGACCTGTGTGTAGATCATGAATGGCTGAGTGGGAGGCTTGAATGAGCATCTCTGACGGGGCTGTTGGAGGACCTCTCAGATGTGTCCTGGCCTATTCCTAGAACTCGGTCCTGCAGCCTCTTCACAGGGAGGGTAGGGTCCATCTGGGCTGCTGTCACCCTAAAGCAAGGCACTTCTCATGGTGTGGGAGGCAGCCAGCAGGGTTCTGGCCTGTCCCTGCCTGCTTTGAGTTCCCAGGTTGTAGGAAGATTGCTGAGTCGATCTTGCTCTGTTCGTTTATCAAAGACGAGAGACTTCGGTCTGGCATGCTTGTGAGTCTCGTGACTGTCATTCCTGAGATAGTGTCTGTCAGCTCCAGTGAGTTAGCCTTTAGGGTGAACCTGGAAGTATAAGGCCCCATTTCTTCCAGAATAGTCACAAGCCTTCCTTTTAGGAGGGTCATATAGAGGCCACCATTGTCCCTCTGATGTCCCAAACTCTCGTTATTAAGGTCTTTAAATTGTTCCTGCACATCAAGGGCAGTGGCATATGCCTTGCCAGAGCAAGCTCTGGTTGACCTGTCAATAGGAAAGAAACGTCCCAGCTGAGGACAGAGGCAGGAGGATTGTGAATTTGAAGCCATGTGGGATAGGTGGGAGAGAGGTGGGCAAGGAAGTGTTCACTGTAGTGTCCCATTGCGGCTGGACCTGTGCTTTGATGTTTACACGCTGTCAGTGTCACAGATTTGGGACAGTGGCGGTGTAAGGGTTGTCCCTGTCTGGATAGAACTGAATTTAAGCTTTAGGAGTTGGTAATGATGTTAAGGATGAGGTTGATGAGAGCCGTTTTTCATTTAGTTAAAATGTTCACAGAGGTGGGGCTAGAGAGATGGCTCAGCAGTTAAGAGCATTGACTGCCCTTCCAAAGGACCTGGGTTCACTTCCCAGCACCCACATGACAGCTCACAACTGTCTATAACTCCAGTTCCAGGGGATCTGATACCCTCGCACAGACATATACATGCAGGTAAAACACCAATGCTCATAAAATAAAAATAAATATATTTTAAGAAAATGTTCACAGAAGCAAGATGAGTGGAGTGCTTGTTTGTGTATTGCATTATGGACATGGCTTTGATCAACAGGGTTATGAGCCAGGAGCAGCACTGTGTGGGTGGTTTTGTTTTTTGAGGCAGGGTCTCACTATGTAGCTTTGGCTGGCCTTGAACTCAGATCCACCTGCTTCTGCCACCCCCTGCTCAGACTAAAGAGCTGGGTGTATCCTACACCCAGATTGTCTTGCGTGTTTTTACTGATCAGTGGCTGATGTGGGCAACAGTGGTGTGGGGAACCCAAGTAATGTGTCACATTGGCTTGAGGAGGTGACCAGGGAGGCATTAGGAGGTAGACATTTGCTGCTTGGCTAGGGCTGGGGAGCCAGAAGTCGTTTGTTCGTATTGGAGCCTAGGTGTCTTCCTGTGTGATACAGTATTGGCTTCCTTAAGGGCTGGAGCCAGGAGCAGGTGAGTGTTTCCTTACATTGGAATTTGTGTGCCAAGGAGCAGATTCCTAGCTGGCGACTGATAGGAACCGCAAACAAAAGACTGAAGGGGAGGAGAAGACCTGAATGTCAGCGTAGAAGAAATCTATCTCCTGAGCTACCTACAGGAGTGGTACAGGGAGCCTGAGCCCTGGGGACCCAAAGCATGCAGGAGGAGGGGCTGGAAAAGATGCCAGGAACAGGCTGGAGCACAGAAGTAAGAGGAACCAGAAGTTTAGAGACTCCTGAGAGCTAAGAGAACAGACCACCTTCTAAGAGAGGTCAGCAATGAGGATGACTTAGGCTTTTTTCCTCCCAAGTGCTTGGGAAGGAACCCAGAGCCATGCACATACTAGTCAAGCACTCTGCCACTGAGTTCTGCCCTTGATCTGTGGGTCTGGGGCTGAGGAGTAACTGGGAGAATGAATGTGGATGGCCTTCCTTCGCCATGTCCTGTCCAGTGGGGACAAACAGTCCCTCCAAGCTCTCTGTCTTACGTATTCCTATGGCCAGGGACTTCTCCCATTATTGAACCATCCTGTTGCAACAGGTTCCAGAATTGTGAGTCTTTTTCAGAGAACTTTGAGAGCACAGAAGCAGTTAATTCTTTCTGTTCGGGCTTTGTCAGAGGGACTCACTCTTGGGAGGAGGGAGCTGCATTGAGGTTTCCCTGCTCTGAGTGGCCTTTTAGAACCCAGGCTTGGGGTCTGAGGATCCCAAACTTGCATGTTGCACTCTTGACCCTCCCCGCGTGGCCTCACAGGTTTGTATTCCACGGCAGAGCAGCCCTGTGGAAATGGCACCTGCCTGCTAGCTTGAGCCGGTTCCAGCGCTATCGCCAAGGATCGGAAGGAGTTTAGAAACCTGGCACTTTGACCCAGTGCCTCTGACTCAGTAGAGTGAGCAGTTGTCGGGGGTACCTGGCCTTTTCCTCCTGGGAGGCTTTAATCTTTTCCTGGGGCATTTAGAGCCTCCCCTGAAGAAAGAGGCCTTATTTGGTAAATATTTCATGATTCGTGAAAAGGCCTGGGCATTTTCTCCAAAAGATCCTGGGAGCACATAGCCCTCATGTAGGTCTGGACCATTCTTCACTAGTACTAGGCATGTGTGTACTCATTGCCTTGTCTCAGACCTGCCTGTCTCCATCCTGTGACCCGTAGCCCACCTATGACTCTAGAGCCTTTGAGTGGACCCTCTTCGGGGTTGTGGTAGGCTGCAAGTGTTAAGCACATATACACCAGGTTTCAGGGGTGTGTTATAAAATGTAAAAAGAGGTGTAAAGTATATATTATGTTTCTGTGTTGGTTACACGTTGAAATGATACTTTAGCTATATTGGATATCATATAGTGTTAAAATGTTAACTAAAAGATTTTAAATTATATACATAGCTTGTACTCTGTCTTTCAAATAGATATAAAGTTTTATGGGTGGAAAATACTTATGTAACCCCAAGTAAATATCTGAAGTCTCCCCAACATTTGCCAACCCTGTAAGAGTTGGTTTTTTTTTCCCAAACTTTTCTGTCCTCACTAAATCAGCCAGACAGGAAATTGAATGAGAAAGACACAGGAGCAAGGTGGCATGTGCCAGCTCTAGCTCTTCCTCTTGACATACTGCGGATTCTAAATGCCCACCCTTACTCAGCCCCATCCTCCGGAAGACCCCTGAAGGGCAGCTTTCAGAATTGGGAAAACCTGCTGAGGATGCATGTCTGTCCTCTTGGGGTCACAAAGCCCAGGCCAGCCTGGATTGCATAGTGAGACTTCCTCAAGAAACAAAAGAGGAGAGCTAAGTACAGTGTTGTGCACTTGATCTCAGTACTCCTGAGACTGAGGCAGGAGCATTGTGATTGCCAGGCCAACATAGGCTACAGTAATGAAACCCTGTCTTTTTTTTTGGTTTTTTGAGATGGTTTCTCTGTGTAGCTTTGTGCCTTTCCTGGAACTCAGTCTAGCCCAGGCTGGTCTCGAACTCAGAGATCCACCTGCCTCTGCCTCCCAAGTGCTGGGATTAAAGGTGTGCGCCACCACCGCCCAACTTGAAATTCTGTCTTAAAAATAAAATCAGGGGGCTGGAGAGATGGCTCAGAGGTTAAGAGCACTGCTTGCTCTTCCAAAGGTCCTGAGTTCAATTCCCAGCAACCACATGGTGGCTTACAACCATCTGTAATGAGATCTGGTGCCCTCTTCTGGCCTGCAGGGATATGTGCAGACAGAACACTGTATACATAATAAATAAATAAATCTTTAAAAAAATAAAAAAAATAAAATCAGGTAAATGAATAGAAAAATAAAATAAAATCAGCCCAGGTGGTAGTGGCGCATGCCTTTAACCCCAGCACTTGGGAGGCAGAGACAGGCGGATCTCTGTGAGTTTGAGGATTGCCTGGTCTACGGAGCGAGTTCCAGGAAAGCTAGGGCTACACAGAGAAACCCTGTCTCAAAAAACCAAAGTGGAGGGGGCAGTAAAAAGAGGGCTGAGGATATAGCTCAGGAGGGGGTAGCGTGCTTGTGTAGCAGGTGTGAGGGAGGCCCTTGTGTGCCTTGCTAGTGTGCAGAGGAAAGGGTGTGGGGTGGCCAGTACAAGCATCTTCTGTCCTTTGGTGCAAGGAAACCTGGGAGGTCCCTACACACTGCAAATAAGTGTCCCTCCTACAGGGAAGTCGCACCTGGCCATCGTTCAGAAGGTGAACAACGAAGGTGATTGTGACCCCTTCTACGAGGTGCTGGGCTTGGTCACACTGGAGGACGTCATCGAGGAGATCATCAGGTCTGAGATCCTGGATGAGTCTGAAGACTACCGTGAGTCTGACTGTTGTCCTCTAACTCACAGCCCTTCCTGCAGCCTCTGGAGCATCTGCATCAGAGGCCAGTGGGCCTTCATGCTGCTGAACAGTGTCTAGAGCTCCAGCCAGACCTCATCTTCCCTACTGTGGTATGGGCCAGTGTTGCCCCTCCACACAAGCCATGCAGACCATCCATCCCATTGTTGACGTTCGTGGCCCCCCGAGTGAGCAGAGGGCTTTGTAAGAGCCCTCCATCACTGGAAGAAGTGTCTGCCCTTGACGGGCCCGGGTCTTTCTGCTGCTTTTGCTGGCCCACATTCTTTTGTGCACAGCTCCTTGATGTATTCTTTGAATTGGATGTGAAGCTCCGTGGTAGAGTATTTGTCCAGCTCGAATGGGGCTGAGTTTGGTCACCTGCACCACACAGGTTAAAAAAAAAAATCCACGTGCCTTTAATCCCAGCGAGGCAGAGGCAGGTAGATCTCTGAGTTCCTGGCCAACAGAGGATATGTAGTAGGTAGACCCTGTCTCAAAAAAAAAACAACCAAAACATTCTTGACCAGCTACTGAGCAGGTCTTCTACAGCAGACAGCCGTGGGACCTTTGATTGTGTCTTCCTTCGATGGCCAACTCTGTGGGGCAGGCACAGAGCCCATACTTGATAGCTGGGGCCTCACGTGGCTTCTTGAGACCCCCGCACTGCCGTGTCTGTGTCTTCGCTTCCGTTCCTGAGCCAGTGGAGGGAGGGTCACCAGGGTAGCTGCTGCCATCTGCCGTGGGTGATCTTCAGGCACTTGTACCTGAAGGATCTCCACAGCAGCGTTCTCTTCTGCAGGAGAGCCAGACTTCCTCTGGGCATGGCTGGAAATGCATATGGGCTGTTGCCTCCTCTGTCCTAGGCACTGGGATTGTCATGTGGTGGGCGTGGCAGCTGAGTGTCTTGCAGGGAGCAGTGCCAAGGATGCTTCCTTGGGGATCCCCTAAAATCCCTGGACCTTGGAAGGAAAGAGTGGGTAACAGGGCTGTTTGCTCTGTTTGTGGTCATAATTGGGTGCTGATATCCACCCATGCTATCTTTTCACTGCCTCTACAGACACCAAGGTGAGGAAAAAGACTGTTGCCCTGAGCACCCCTCTCAAGCGGAAGGAGGAATTCTCCTTATTCAAGGTGTCTGATGATGAATATAAAGTAAAAATCTCGCCTCAACTGCTCCTGGCCACCCAGCGCTTCCTTTCCCGAGGTGAGGGTGAAGGGTGGTCCTTGCCCCTGGTCTCACCACCCAGAGGGTCAAGAAACCACCCAGACCAGACGCCAGCTTGGCTCCTAGTGAGCTGGAGGCTCCCGAAGAGCATCTGCTTCCCTCTGCAGAGCTAGTGGGTGTCTCCTGATAAGACGTGTTCTGGGCACTTCATCTGGCCCTGTGTGGTATGCCCTGCTTGGCTCTCTTGTGTGGATTGCCGCAGCCCAGGGACCACTGGGAGAGCCCAGGAGGCAGCAGGAGGCAGGTGTGATGACAGGCCACTTGGGCCCCAGTGGACACTGTCCCTTTCTCCCACCGCGGGGCAGAGGTGGATGTGTTCAGCCCAATGCGAATCTCCGAGAAAGTCTTGCTGTATCTGCTGAAGCATCCCAGTGTCAACCAGGAGGTGAAGTTTGATGAGAACAACCGCCTGGCCACACACCATTACTTGTACCAGCGCAGCCAGCCGGTGGACTACTTCATTCTCATCCTGCAGGTAACCACGGCTGCCCAGACCCGAAGCCTCCCACGTCCTCAGACCTGGAGAGAGAGCTATCCAGACAGGCACCCTCAATAAACACCTGGGGCTGAGGTTCCTCCTGTCCTCTCGAGACGGGAGAGATAACCTGTCCGCTTCTGTCCTCCTCCCAGGGCAGGGTCGAGGTGGAGATTGGAAAAGAGGGCCTGAGGTTCGAGAATGGGGCCTTCACATACTATGGAGTGTCCGCCCTGGCAGCTCCGTCTTCAGGTAAGCCAGGGCCCCTTTGGGGGTTGTGGTCATGGTTGTGGTCAGCTGCCCCTGACGCTCCGGATGCTGCGGAAGGTCTAAGTGCCCAGGACACAGGCTTCCCTGGAGCCTGTGTCTCTGTCCCAGGAGGGGCTTCCTGTCTAGGCAGTGTAGAGGGCGGAGCAGCACTTCTGCCTTGTTTATCTTGGTAGCCACTGGATCCCCGCAAACGTTCCAGGGTGGCTTCGTCGTGGTCTTCCATGTCCCCACCCACCCCTCCCTCTCCAAGGGGACTTCAAGGGCAGGCACTGGAGGCTGTGCACTGATCCCACTGCCTTCGCCGTCTCTGATTATTTCCTCCGTAGCTCACCAGTCCCCCGTGTCTTCACGCCAGCTCATCCGCCACGACCCGCAGCCTGAACCACCCGAGAGTACCCGCCCCTCCGCATACTGTCCTGACTACACCGTGAGGGCCCTTTCTGACCTGCAGCTCATTAAGGTGACTTTGGGCTGCACGTTGGTGCTGCTTTAACTGGCTTTGTGCTCCCGAGGGGCGAGTCCAGCTGGTCACTGTGAAGATGGAGAGTGAACCCAGCACAGAAAGACAGGCTCACATCCTGAATGGTGGGACCTCCCCTTCTCTCTGGACTGCTGGGTCTGCACCTCTCTGGAGGCCTTGTGCCTGATCTCCATTGTAGATCTTAAAATCACTTGGCCATAAAAGAAAACCGTGTGGCTCAAAGGCTTTCTGCCCTCGCGGCCAGTTTAAAGTCCTGCCTGTCTAGTGCAGGTCAGAGGTGGGAGCTCTGCTGTCCGTATCTCGCGATTGCACCTGCTGGGTAATTTCTCCATTCTCTTATCCTCTAGATCACACGGTTGCAGTACCTTAATGCACTCCTGGCTTCCCGAGCCCAAAGCTTGCCTCCATCCCCAGAGAATGCTGAGCTCCAGGCCATCCCAGGCAGCCAGACCAGGCTCCTTGGTGACAAGTCCATTGAGACAGCAGGTAAGCCCCCCCCCCCCCCCCCCATGGTACATCCTGCAGTGCTGGGGCCCAGGGGTCACAGGAAATCCTGCCACTGCGCTGCGTGTGCTCTCTCCTCCCCGTCTGTACCCTCCTGTTTCTCTGCCCATCCTTTCCTTCGGACTGTCTGCAGTAGCTTGGATCACACGGTCAGCTGGCACTCAAAACAGAGCAGACGGCCTTTTCTGTCTGTGGCCTCTTTGAGATGGTTTAGTTAGTTCTCGATAAGTGGGGGATGTTCAGGGTAGAAACTCTCAGGCCACTTAAGATCAGGGTTAGGTCACTTAAAGAGTCAAGATTTGGCTTTTCCTTGGCCCTGGCTCAAAGGAGCACTTGCTGTGGAGCTGGGTCAGCACATGTTGATAGCGAGGTTCTGTAGAATGGAAGCAGAACACGCTTGGGTGGGGGGCAGTTTGCATTATGGGTAGCCTCTGGATAAGGCTCCGGATTGCCAAGCTGAGCTTCAGAAGTAGCTCTGGAAGGCATGCAGGCTTCTGCCTTGCTCCACTTGGCCGCCCCAGGGACCCAAGTTCCTCCTGGGCATTTACTCTGCAGGCATGCTTAGAGCCGACCCCGTCTTCCCTGGCGAAGCTGCCCACCATCCTGAGAGGTGGGAGTTGCTGGGCTTGTCTGATAGATGAGGAATAGGGTTTGAGGGCCCTAGACAGCCTCCTGGGGACTTAGGGCCGTGGTCACTGAGGCCCACACTTGATATCACGAACATGTTTTTACAGTAGAAATCGCTTTTTTAATCAAGAGGTGACAGAAGGTACAAAGGACAGAAACCCTTGACCCTGAGCCACGGTGATGACTCAGCCCCTGTGGGCTCTGCTCTGGCTCCAGGCACTACTAGGGGACAGCTGAGGCATGCCCTGTAGGAATGTCAGTTTCAGAAAGGCCTTTTGTGGAATACCCCAGAACAGAAGTTCACATGACCACGTTAGCCTTACCAAGACTCGTTTTTAAAACATGAGTGTCTTCTGGCTCCAACCACTACTCAGACTGCAGGGGCTGTATTCAAGGTACAGACGTGATCTGAGATTGGCAGTTCTCCTAGGAGCGTGTCCTCCGTCAGGGATTGTCCCCTCCTTCCCTCTTCTGCCCCCCCCCCTTTGCCCCCTCCTTTCCTTTCCTTTCCCTGCTTTGCTTGCCTTTCTTTCCAAGTGCTGGGGGAGGGGGGTGGGGGGATTGAACTTACAGCCTTGCACACACTAGGCAAGCATTCTTCCATTTGAGCTATACCTCTAGTCCCTGGAGAAGCTGGAGACGTTTTCATCCTCTTGACTTGGCCTGCTCTCTGGGCCGGCCTGTAAAAAGAGTAATTTACTGTGGCTTGTGGGTCATTTCTTCCTTACAATGCTTTATCCGCCCTGTTTGCCAGTTTTTACCTAGGTGACCTGATGTGTGCCCCAGTGAGGTTTGCCTGACTCTGGGGTCTCCCTGGGTTTGTCCCTGTCCCCGAAGAGTTTAGTGTTACTGCACAGTGCTGGTTTCGGTGGGCCACTGTTTAAACGAGTGCAGGAAGACTCAGTCCCTGGGGATTTGGGCACTGAATCCCTGGCAGGAAAGTGCTCTTGTTGAAATGTTTGGAATGTACAAGAATTTTAAATGGCGTATGTCAGGGATTGGGTCGGGTGGTGGCAGTGCACACCTTTTATCCCAGCACTCGGGAGGTAGAGGCAGGTGGATCTCTGAGTTCAAGGCCAGCCTGGTCTATGTAGTGAGTTCCAGGACAGCCAGGACTACACAGAGAAACCCTGTCTGAAAAACAAACAAACCTGCATCAGGGATCAGCCAGCTATGGTGTGGGAACCTGATGTGGCCAGGTTCCAGAGTTTATAAATGAGGTTTTATTAGAGTCCACCCTTTGGTTGTCTGGCTGCTGTGAGTGGCAGCGGGGACAGAGCAGGTGACTTGGCCCTTCACTGAAAGTCTGATCCTGGACTCCTCACCCGTGCGGCCCTGTGGTGGGTGCTGTCCCTCTGTGGTCCTCAGCATCACCTGTGTAGCCCAGAGCCCTCCCCAGCCTTCCGCGTGGTGCTGAGGAGCTGAGGCCCACTGCCACTCAACAGCGTGTCCCTCTTCTCTCTTCTCTCCGCTCTCTTCAGCCTTCCCAGTAGACCTTTCCCTCTTTGGCACATTTGGAAACTGCAGTTGATAAATGACTGTGGACTAGTGAGCATTTTTTGTTTTAAGAAAACACCAAGGTAAATATCTGTTTCCTTTTTCTTTGATTTACTTTTCCCATCCTTTAGCTGTTGGCAGGCACCACAGACCGCTTCCCCCAGGCTGGGGTGCATTTCCCTTGGTGGGGGAGTTGGGAGGGGTACTGTATTTTATTTTTCTAGTACTTACTTTTTCTAGAAGACAAGCGGTCATGGCACACCTGGTTAGTCCTGGAACATACGGCTTCCTTGTAGCACAGGGGTTCTTCATTATCTACGGAAGTTTCTTTTTGCCCAGCATAGCAGCCTGAGCCCCTAGAGTCAAAAATACATAGCACTCCCTAGGTGCCATGGCTTACACCTATAATCACAGCACCCCTGAGGGTGAGGCAGGAGAACTGCCTTGAGTTTGAGGTCACTCCACACTGCATGGTGAATTCCAAGCCAGCCAGCAAGACTTTGTCTCAAAACAAAATAGGGGCTGGCAGTATGGCTTTGTGGGTAAGATGCTTGCCGTCAAGCCGGTGACCCACGTTCAGTCCCCAGAACCTATGTGGTGGAAGGTAAGAACCGAGTTTCACAGGTTGTCCTCTGACCTCCATACACGTCATGACATGTGCATACCCTCACACGTTTATACGTACACACCAAGGTAAATGTCAGAAGAGCTGACTGACTGTGAAGAATGAAAGAAAGACAATTAAGTTTCAAAGCCAGCTGTGGTGGTACACGCCTGTAATTCTAGTTCTTGGGAGGTGGAGGTAGGAGGAGCTGACATTTAAGGTCAGCCTGGGCTGCATAAGACCCTGTCTCAAACCCTGCTGCCCCAAAGAAGTGGGGGAGGGGGCAGACCCACAAACCAATGACAAAAAAAGTCAGTAGCCCATCTTTGTCCCTCATGGGTGGCATCTGTCCTTGGAGTGGGTTTCTCTCTTGACCATGTTCTTGACTGCTTTGATGGTTCCTGAGATGTCCCAGGGCCCATCTGTCCAGGCTGTCTCTTTGTCCTAAAGGTTCAGTACTTGGTTTTGCTAGAGCCTGCCCCTTGACTACTGTGAATGCCATTCTTTTTTCCCCCTATCCTTAGGGTCCAACAACAGCAGACCTGACGTCCCAGTGGAGAAGAGCCCTGGGCAGAACCCAGGAGTGTAACTGCTTGCCAGGCAGCCCTGAGCTGGAAATGGACAAGCGTGTGGGGAGCTGGGGAGAGCCAAGCAGGAGCTTCATGCCAGCCTGTCCCCCACCGATTCTGGCCACGTTTTAGATGGCCATTATAAGATGTGGGTCCTGGGCCTCCTGAATGCCAGAGCCTTCAGCTGGCCCTGCCTTCCCTTAGGAGATAGGACTGGCAGGGCGGTCCTCCAGAAGAAGCCTGTTTCTGGGGGGATGAAAGGAACAGCATCATCTCTAGTCCCCAGGGCCCAGCCTCTCCCCTGATACTGTAACGGCACAGTGTCTGTACCTCCCTGAGCCAGGTGCCATGTGGGTGCAGTTACTGCCTTTACACGGTCTTGGCCTGTCTCACTTTGCTTTTAATTGGCCAACCCTCTGTTGTTGGCATCACTTTATGAGCAAACCAAGAGTGCTGGCTCTGGATGGAGAGTCAAGTCTATGGCCCTGTCCTGTACCTCTTTATTTCCCTTACAATGCCATATTTTGATTCACGTACCCCAGTTTTTTCCATGTGCCAAATCTAAAAGCACGATTCCCCAATAAGTCTGTGCCCCAGTTCTGCTCCCTCCTGTGGAGGGAGGTTAGCCTCTCTGACTCCTGAAGTCGTGAGCAGGCTGGCCCAGTGACACAGGGGCCTGCCCAGCATGGCTGAAAAGTCAGTGTTGAGGACCTGCCTTGTACTTTTGTCTTACGCCTCCGGGGACATGTGTGGCCGTAATGGGTAGAGAAGAGCGATCGGGGAGGATTGTTTGTAACCCTGGTACCTCCTTGTCACCTGCTGAGAAGTCAAGGTTTTCTTGTATCTGAAATATTTCAAATTGTGTGCCCTTTTCCGTCTCCAGGGACGTTGTTTTTGAGATGCAGGGGTCGGAAAGCACAAGTTTCCTCTTCCAGGGTACCTACATTTTCCTTCCACGGTTCCGGCTCTGGGACCATAGATTGATTGGGCTGGGGAGGGAGGATTTCTGGAACCTTCCTCAAAAGAATGTGGGTCCTGGTAAGTGAGACTTGCAGGCCAAGAGAACAGTGGTATGCTTGCCAAGAAAGTATTCTCAAGGAATATGCTCTAAGAACAAACTCAGGTTGGAAGCAAATACTTTAAAAATCATCTCTCTCCAGAAAAGAATTCAGAATTCTGGCTGCAGAATCACCTGGCAAATTAGAACCTTGGCTACCTGGGCCCTTCTGGGGCTTCTGATTTAGTCACCTTGAACACCAGGGTTAGGGTCTTGAAATAGTTTTAGATTCATAGAAGAGTTCCATATGCCCTTTACTCTGCATCCCCTGATGTTAACATGTTAAATAACCTTGTTACAGTTACCCAAATTAAAATGTTAACATTGGTGTCATACTATTTAACTGGAGGCTTGGTTTGGATGTTACTTTTTTTTTCTAGTAATGTCCTTTTCTGTTGCAGAATTCCAAGGCAGGATGCCAAGATGCACTTAGAGCTATTGTTTTCCTTTTTACCTAACTTTGTATTTTATAGTAATTGCAGATTCATAGGAAGTTGGAAAGATGCAGAGTCCATGCATCCTTTATCTGGCTTTCCTCAGTGGTCCTGTCTTACAAACTGTAATGTAGTCTCAAAGCCTGGACTGGTGCAGGTGGTACCTGGCATCTGTATAGACCTGAGTAACTGCTGCCCAAGTCTAACCCACTGTCCTGTCACTACCAGGGTTCCCCCTGGACTGCCACTCAGAGCCACCTGCCCCGTCCCTAAGCCCTGGCAACCACTAGACTGTTCCTCATCTCTTTTATTTTGTCATTTCAAGAGTGTTGTTTGAGGGGTCGTGCAGTGTGTGGCGTTAGGGACTGACTTCTTCACTCAGCATAGCTCTCTGGGGACTGATCCAGGTCATTGTGCCAGCAGCTTATTCCCTTTTCTTGCCAAGTGGTATTCCATGGTGTATTCATTGTCCTGTCAAAGGACATCTGGGTTGTTTCCAGTTTTTGGCCTTTTCCAAATAAAGCTGCTATGAACATTCATGTACAGATGTCGGTGTGAATGTTGGTGTTGACTCTGGGGGAAGTGCCAGGAGTGCCGTTGCTAGGTTGTTTATCATTGAAAGAGAGCCTGCCAGGCCTTTTGCAGTAGCTGTGTGCAAGCCTCAGTTCCTACATGAAGTGTAGGAACGATCCAGTTTCTCAGTCCTCCAAACGGTCATTGTTTTTACTTGAGCTATTTAGACAGGTGACCAACAGAACCACTGTGGTTCTCATCTGTTTTTCCTGATAGAATCCAGCACTATTAGTAAGCATCTGTTCAGGTCTTCACCTTGGTGACGTGCCTGTGTTCTTCGCCCATTCATTTGCCCCCCTCCCTTTTTTTTGGTCTGAGAACTCTTCATATATTCAGATTCTAAAATCCTTTGTTGGATTTTGGGTTTGCAGAAATTTTGCTCTGTAGTGCTCTAGTCTAGTTCTGAAATGTGCCCCTAAGGCCTGTGTACTAAAGACTTAATCCCCTTGAAGTGAGTCCTGCGGTCATTGGGGCATGCCCTCAAAGGGGTTGTTGGGGCCTTGGCGTCTTCCTCTCCTTTGCTCCCTGATGACCCTGAGGTGAAGGCCTCTGCACGTGCTCCCTCCTTGTACTGTACATGGCCGGAAGGACCAGGCACCCACAGGCCCCTGTGAGCTCCCCATCTCAGTTGTGTGCTCACAGTAACAGAATACTAACAGTGAGGCTGTGCTCTACGGCAGGGTCTCAGGGAACAGAGGTTTTTCATTGTGATTAAAGTCGTTTTACCAAACTTTGTTTTGTGCTTTTAGTATATCTGACTGTTCTAGAATCTCAGAAGTTGTCTAACTTTAACCCTAATAGTTTGAGTTTCTGTTCTACATGTAAGCTTGTTTTCCATTTTGAATTAATATTTCTATGAATAAGGCTTGGGTCACAGCTTTTTTTTTTTTTTTTAATTTATGCATGTGAGTGTTTTGACCGCATGTATGTCTGTACGTCACATACATGCTTAGTGCCTGCAGAGGCCAGGAGGCATTGGCTCCTCCCTGGAACTGGAGTTATGGTTGTGACTCACCATGTGGGTGCTGAGAATCGAACTCAGGTCCTTCGGAAGAGCAGTTGGTGCTGGTGCTCTTCACTGCCCAGCCTTCTCTCCAGCCCCCACAGCTGGTTTTGGTGGTTTTGTAGGCCCAGGCTCAGGCTGGCCTCAAACTCAAAACCCGCTTTCTCTGGCTTTTCCCCTCCTTCCTTCCAGATTTAACCTAAGGATGTCTGTCCATTTGTTGAAAAGGCATCTCTCCCTCTGTTGGGTGTATTTGTGTGTGTGGGGGGGACTATTTCTCGGTTGTCTACTACGTCACATTAGTCTGTATGTATCCACTACACTCTGGATCACTGAAGTTGAACCCACTTTTCCTCCCCCCTCCCCTAATTTTCTCTTAGAGTCCCAGGCTGGGTGTGGTGGCACACGCCTTTAATCCTAGCATTCAGAGGCAGGTGAATCTTTGACTTCAAGGCCAGCCTGATCTACAGTGAGTTCCAGGACAAAAACTATTTCAAAAAAAAAAAAGGGAGTCTCAGTCAATGGGCCAAGCTGACCTCACATCCCCCTGCCTCAGCCTACCAAGTGCTGGATTTACAAGCATGGGACAGCGTGCTTGCCTTCTGTTATTTCTCAAAATGTGGGTGTTTTTCCGTGTGTAATCTCTATACAGCCTGTGCTACATACACCACTGTCTCACACTATGTTCGGCCTAACCTGCAATGCAAAGCAGTCCTCCTGAGGCCTCCCAGGTGCTGGGATTACCGGCAGGCCCTACCATGTATGGCTCCAATTGTTCAGGCTATATATTTGCTTACACAGTTTAGATAATCTTCTCTACATCTTGCTTGGATTTTGGTAGGAACTGTGTTAAGCCTGTATGTTGTCAATTTAGGAAGAGCTGATATCTTTACATGTGCCTTCCAATCCATGAGCACATTATGTCTATGTAAACATTTTCATTTGTATACTTCAGCATCGTAGAATTTTTCTTTTTAGGTTTAAACTTAAACAGTTGTAATCGTACTGTATTTTTTGTATCCATAATCACTGGTATTAGGGATAAATAGATTTTCGTTTCTATTGTATCCTGAGGTCTTGGACTTTTTTTTTTTTTTTTTTTTTTTTGGTTTTTCGAGACAAGGTTTCTCTGTGTAGCTTTGCGCCTGTCCTGGAACTCACTTGGTAGCCCAGGCTGGCCTCGAACTCACAGAGATCCGCCTGGCTCTGCCTCCCGAGTGCTGGGATTAAAGGCGTGCGCCACCACCGCCCGGCTTTTTTTTTTTTTTTTTTTTTTTTTTGGCTTTTGAGGTCTTGGACTATTAATATTAAGGTAGGTATTTATTACCCACCACCCACCTAGTAGAATTCCTTACAATTTGCTAGTCTGCATAGATAACCATGTCTTCAACTAATACTTGGATCCTACCTTCAGGGCTTCTGACCTAGTAACATTAGACATTAGGACTTTGGAGAAAAGGTTTCACTGTGTAGCCCTGGCTGGCCTCGAACTCAATATGTTGATCTGGCTGGCCTTGAACTCAGAGATCAGTCTGCCTCTGACTCCTAAGTGCTGGAATTAAAGGTGTGTGCCACCATACCCAGTGGATATCAGGACTTTAAAAAACAAAAACAAAAAACCTGGTGAGCTGGGCGGTGATGGCACACACCTTTAATCCCAGCACTTGGGAGGCAGAGCCGGGCATATCTCTGAGTTTGAGGCCAGCCTGATCTACAGAGCGAGATCCAGGACAAGGCACCAAAGCTATGCAGAGAAACCCTGTCTCAAAAAACAAACAAAACCTGGTGATTCTAAACAGCTGAAGTTGAAAACTGCCCTTTTCTGAACTTGTCTATCAATGAGCAGAGGTCCTGAACACGGGAGCCATGTGCCAGGACACCCCGCCCCCACATATATAAAACATGCGTAGTACTTGGTGACATGTCACGCTGTTGGCCGGCAGGAATTATGGCCTTGGTCTTTGCAGCTGAGGATGATAAGGCCTCCTCCCAGTCCCCACAAGACAACCAGGCTGTGGTGGATAATCAGTTTAATGAGAAAACAGTGATCTGTGTGTATAAAAAGGTGGCTGTGTGTCCATTAAGTGTCCTCATTCCTGAGGAGTCGTCATATCATGTAGTCTTGAATGTCTGTCTTGCTCATGGCACCGTCTGTCTAGGTGCACGCCGGCTGTCAGGACAGGGCAGGGCCTGCCCATAAAAAGGTTCATGCCCCTAGGAGGAGCACTGGTCAGGATTTTCACATAGTAACAAGGGCCAGAGAGGCTGCCAAAATCAGACTAAAAATAACTGTTGCTAAATGGGTGTCAGCTCAGGGCTATCTGAGGGAGGCGAAGCCTTCACCTTTTAACCCTTTGTTCAGCCTGTGGCCTCAGTGGAGGGCCCAGCGCTTTATCATCAACTTCCTGGCATCTAAGGAGCCAGCCTTGCCAGTGAAGCTGGAGACCCAGCTGGAAGAGAGGGAGCGTGCGCCTGTGCGAAGGTCTCGCCACACCACCAGTTGGCACAGGGGCCTGGAGAGGTGTGTATACTGTTGTTGCTGCACCCCATAGCAAGGTGCTGAACTCAGAGTGCAGGGCATGCAGAGCCTAATCCAGGCCCTTTCTCCAGTACCAGGGGGCATCAGAGCCTTAGGGTAAGCTAGGGTTGCGGGCCGCCGCCCCAAAAGTTGAGTGGGCCACAAGCAGTCCCCAGCACCTGACACTCTACCCTCACATAAGACAGGCAGGGTTGCCTGAAGCCTTTAGGTGGGACTTCCCCAGAGTACACACTAGTTCCAGCTCATCAGCCTCCAGCTTCTGGGGCAACCTGGTAGGTACTGACTTCTGTGGGGCCTCAATCTTGTTGACATGCCCCTCAGCCTGCCAGAACCCTCCCTCCAGTTCTGGAGACTAGAGATGGCTAGAACTACTCCAGACACACTCAGGGTTGCTACTGATAGGAATGGAGTCCCTGGAGAAACTCCACCCAAAGGACAGCAGTGAGTTGCCCCAGTGCCTGGCACTTAGGTAGCCTGTTTCTTCTCTTATACCCTGGATGCAGCTGCTGGTCACATCTGAGTCTCTACTTCCAGAACAGGCCAAGGCCAGTCTCCTGATTGAAGGATTGGTAGACAGGCCTAGACCCGGCTGTGGGTAGTGCTGGTCTGTTCACATCCTGCTCTGGCCTTGGCCCTCGTCTGGACCCACTTCACTTCTTGCTACCCTATGGTCCTCTGCTCCAGCCCTGGCAGGGAACACGGTCTCCCTCACTGAAACCCAGGGGACCTGCTCTACCTGCTGCTTCTGGCCCAAGGAAGCAAAGCCAGAGAAAAATTGGGGCTGGGGCCGAGAACCACTTAGAGGTGGATGAGTGGGAGAGTGGGTGTGGAATGGCGGCTGTGAGTGACCCTCAGGTTTTAGTCATCAGCACCGGGTCCGGGGGTGCCCCACATGGGCCTGTAGCGCTTCCCGGATACCCCGCTGCCAGTCTCGGGCCAGCTGCACTGGTGTTAGAGAGGCCTGTGAACAAGGATACCGAGTCAGTCTTCCTCTCCTGGGTACTCCCCTGACCTCAGCACAGGTATCAGACATGGCCTGGCTGGCACTCACCACATTCTTCATGCCCAACTTGGCTCCATAGAGCAGCAGCAGCTTCGTAGCTTTGTGGTGCCCATAGCGCACAGCCTCGTGGAGTGCTGTGTCCCCTTCCTGTGGAGAGAGGGACCAGTCGGTCACTGCGACGGGCCCAGTACAGGAAGGCGCTGCTGACACACAGGTGGCCTCCAGTCTGCTTCAGGCTGCTCAGTCACCAACACCCACCTTATCCTGCGCATTGATGTGGGCGCCACACTCAATGAGATGCTCCAGGCAGTCAGAGTGGCCCGTGCGTACTGCTACATGGAGAGGAGTGCTCCAGATCTAGGGGGAAGTGAGGTGCAGTGCTGGATCTGGGTGGCCATGCCACCCAACCCAGAAGAGCTGTGCCTTTTTTTTTTTTTAAACGGTTTCTCTGTATAGCCTTGCTGTCCTGGAACTCATCAGTAGATAAGGCTGGCCTCGAACACCACCATGCCCAGCTGGGCTATGCCTTCTTATAAGGTGAACGTCTGTTCTCTATGCTACGTGTGCCCCTAACAGGTTACCACCCAAAGCAGGCACTGGTCCCTTTACCTTGTCCTGTGCGTTGACCTGAGCCCCCTGGTTAAGCAGCAGTTTGAGGACATCCAGGTGTCCTCCACGGCAGGCCCAGAACACAGGTGTCCTGTCCAGCTGCAACACAAAGCATCGAGGTGCTCTGACCCACGGGGCCGGAAGGCCTGACTGACTAGATGAGCCACCACATCCCCTGTGAGGGCGAGCCCTGCTTCTCACCAAGTCCCGAGCTTCTATAGCGGCCCCTGCCGCCAGCAGCTTGTTCACCAGCTGTCCGTGGCCCTTCAGACAGGCCCAGTGCAAGGCTGTGCGGTGGAGCTGGGAGCAGAGACAAAATGAGGCCAAGAGAGCAGAGCTGCTCCCTAGAACCACCCACCCCACCCCTTCCGTTCCTAGAACAGGTCACCAGAGTTACCCAGTGTCCCAGGTGAGGACTTGAGTGTCCAAGATGGCATATACAGGTGTCATAAGTGCATGCACCCACCCTTCCTACCTTGTCATGGGCATTAGGGTCCCCTCCGTCTGTCAGGTACTTGTCAATCAGGGCCTCCTGGTTCTCCGCAGCTGCCTTCAGGAACATTTCCAGGTCCACAGGCTCCAGTGGGACCTGGGGCTGCGGCTGGGTGAGCAGAACAGGACAGAACTAAGTCAGTCCCCGAGTCCGTGGGCACCCGTCACTGCCGCTTCACTAGTCTGGCCCAGCACACTTGGCCTGTTCGATTATAGTTGTTTTTCAATCTCATTCTCAGGAGATAATAAAAGAACGGGAAGTGTGTGTTATGCACCCATTGTTCCCATACTCTAGTTCATACGCTGAATCTTAATTGTAGTATCTCAGAATATGACCGTTCTGGAGATAAGGTCATTGCATTTGTAATTATGTTAGAGTAAGGTAGACCCCTTTCCTGTATGACTGCTGTCCTTATGTCGAGGACTTTGGATACAGGCAGGAACACAGAACGTGAGTAAAAGGTAGAGATGGGTCATGTGTCTACAGACCAGCGGGCCCTAGTTGCAGCAGCCCCAAGAAGCCGAGCAGGGGAGTGGACGCTCCAGGACAGGACAGTATATCTAGCTTCTGAACAAACTGGAATGACCTGTTGGTGTGGCTGAGTCCTCCACGGCCAGCACTTGGTTACAGCTAGCTGCCTGTGATATTGGTTAATTTCACAAGCCCTTGGGCACATCAGTGAGAGATTATCTAGATAAGGCTAGCTGATAGGAACCACTGTAAATGTGGGTGAAACCATTTGATGGGCTGGGGTCCTAGGCCGAAGAAAAAGGAGAGAGCAAGGTCAAGGAAGTGAGCATTGGGGCTGGGGTGGGGGAGGTGGCTCGGCAGTTAAGAGCGCTTGTTGCTCTTGCGGAAGATCCAGGTTCAGTCCCTAGCACCTACCTGTTGCTTCAAAACCATCTGTACAGGGTATATGATGCTCTCTTCTGACCTCTGACCACCAGGCATGTACATGGTGCACATACATACATACATACATACATACATACATACAGGCAAACACTGGTACACAAATAAAGCATCTCCTCCCTCTCCCTCTCTCCTCTCATTTCCAAATAACCCTTAAGTTGCCAGGTGCTTGGTCACAAGAAGCTAAGCAGCTAATACATTGCCCTATGGAAGAAACACAAGGCTCTGGGATGCGTTCCATGCAGCTCCCATGCACTGCCTAAGCAGCCGCGGCCCCTAGCTCCATTCTTCCCAGGCCCCCAAGACTGGAGGCCATCTGTGCCTCTGGAACACCAGCCTTAACCTCTCACTCACCTCGACCACGGGCTCAGCTTCCCTGGGGGGGACTTTGTGTCTCAGTCGCTTTTTTCTTCGTCTTTGAATCAAGTTTTCCAAGTCTCTCATGTTGTCCAGAGTCAGTCTGGAGCTGTTAAATCTTTCCAGCTAGGGCAGAAGACATGCCCAAGCCAGACATCAGTCACCAGGTAGGGTCTCAGGGCAGGCTCCTGGTTAGACTAATACTGCCTTGAAGAAGTACACAGCCACTGGCTGGGTAACAGTGGCCATGGGCTCTAGTTACCACTCATAGATACCCACACTGCCCAACCCCTTTCCAAGACACTTACTTTCTTCTTCTTCTCTTCCTCCAACTTCAATTTCTCCCGGGCCACGGCCTCTTGGGGTCCCAGCCTCCAGTCACTAGGCCAGCCTCCAGGATCAGGAACTCCATGTCCAAACTCCAACACTTTCCTATTAGCTCTTTCTCCACTTACCTGCAGGACAGGTAGAGTAGATTAAGGAATGGGACAGTTGGAGGGATGCTTGGGAATCAGTGTGTGGCACAGCAGGATGGCTGAGATCCTATGTGCAAAGGTTAGCTGTGAACCTGGGTGTCAGCCTGACTCATCCTGCTGAATGTTTCCTGGTGGGCTACAATGCATGTGTGCACGTGCACATGCACACGCACACGCACACGCACGCACGCACGCACGCGCACACACACACACACACACACACACACACACACACACACACAACCATCTGCAGTGGCAATGGCCAAGGCCCAGGGGAATGACCGCTTATCAGCTATTAGGCTCAGCTTCCCTGAGTTGAGGGAGGGTGGTATTTGTCTATACCACTGGGTTCATGCCTGGGAACTCAGGCAGATGACACCTTAGCTTCCATCCGGGGCTTCTTTCCCTGGATTCCGATGACATCATGCCACACTGCCATCTGACCCAAGCTTCGAGAAGAGAAGCTTCTGGGCCGAATTCCAAATCCCTGCTTTCAACCCTTGGGTCTTAGAGAAACTGTTTCTGCCTCGGTAAAACGAGCTCAAACCATCCCTATAGCTGGTCACAGCGGATACCCACCCAGTTCCTTAACAGCCACCCAGGAAGCTGGAGCGCACCAAGGAAGGTGCAGAGTGTGCTGGGAGAGAGGAACAGAAGTCTGAGGCTTCTGGCCAAATGGCCAGGTCTTCCCTCTAAGTCAGCAGCTTCAACAACCTAATAGTTCCTGGTCTGGGCTTTGCCATCCACCTCCCCGGAGCCAGCTGGGGCCACTGCACCACAGTGAGACGTAGGTGCCTCATACCCTCCATGCCCCATGTCACCCAAATTGATACCACATAGCTGCACCCGCTTCACTCTGTTTCTCTTACTGCTTGGGGAACCCAAGAACACCACCCCTAAAGTGGCCAGACCCTCCAGAAGTTCCAACCAGACTGTCCTGTGCTTGACCTTAAAGGAACTATACAGCTCTACCCATGGCTTCCAGATAACTCTTCACTTCCCATTTCTTTTCCGCCATCCAGACAGGTATACCTGCAAGCTTGGGGGTGCAGCTCTGTGGGAGAGTGCTTACCTAGCATGTATGAAGCCCCAAGATGGATCCCCAGAACCACACTCACCAAAAACAAACAAACAAAGACTCAGTAATTGAAGGGTTTTTCCCATCTGCCCAGCTTTGTCCATCCCCAATTATCTTCCTTCTCTTGACACCCCCTAACATGAGGACGGGGCAGGAAAGAACCATGCTGTCTTGCCCCTCAATCTGCCCCTCCGATACCCAGAAAGCCGCTGTCTGCTCTCAGCCAGACTTCGTTCCTCTGGCCATAAAGTCCGGGTACCTGCCCCTTGTGTTGAGTCCTTACCCGTTACCTGCCTCGCATCCTTACCAACTGCTGAATGCTGATGAAGTCCATGGTCCCCCCCCTTGCTCTCCACACGCCCAGCGAAGCTAGCAGAGCGCTCAGCCCTTTTATGGGAGAGCTCTCTCTTGGGGGTGGGGAAGGACAGAGTCTGTGCCCAGGCCGGATGACTCTGGGGCCCTGTCACACTAACCAAAATACAGGTCTGGGAATGTGGCCCACTGAGGGCAGGAAGAGAAGCTGTCTGGAGCTGGGTCTGCAGCCTCCTCAGACACCCACCACCCTGCACCTGCCGCATCCCACATCTAGCAGGGAGTCATTTTACCAACACATGGGGCTGAGGTGCTTGGGCCAGACCCAAGGGAAACATTTCTTACTCTTGGGAGTTCAGAGCCCACTGGCGGAATCCAGACTTAAGATGGAGATCTGGCTGCCTGCGATATTGCAAAGACTAGTGGCGTGGTCACCGGGGCACAAGGCAGGCAGGCGTCCTACAGAGGACCTCAGGAGGGACAACGGAAGAGGCTGACCTAACGCCTTGGGAATTCTCCTGGGCCTACATGATGAAACTAGACTTCATAAGATTTCCCAACTGGCTAGTTTCAAGGCTGCCCTTCCCTCCCAGATTTGTCCCTCAGCAGGTGGTGTTCTGCCCCAGCCCTCATAGGGTCCACACCAGATAACTCTCTGGGCACGAAGCATGTCCTTCAACAGGGCAAGGGGACTGAGAACCGCTCCGGGTCCCGGTCTGTAGCAATAATCACGACAGCCAGCCACGAAACAGGCTGTCTCTAGCCAACAAAATCAAATTCCTAATTCTTCAGAAGCCAGGAATGCCTTTCACTCTGCTGTGCCCTAAATTCCAACTTGACCTTTGAAAGGAAACCAGATACCCAGTAAACAAGACTCCAGCATGAAAGCAACATGAACAGGGAGAACCAAATAAGCACAAGGGGAAATGTGGCTGAAAGGGGGCCAGAGACCACAGGGGGTTACCAGAGCGCCTGTTGTCCATGCTGACCTCATGGACATGCAGAGTTTTCCGAGAATTTAAGGAAACGCAGCTTTTTAAAGAAGCCCGGGTCTTCTGCATTAGGATGCTTTCTTTGGAACACCCTCCTTGGTAATGAGGAGGGAAGCAGTTTCTCTGTGAGCAAGGCGGCAAACGAGAAAGTCAGGCTAGCCCTGTTCTTCCCTGTCCTGCATTTGATGAAGCTGGGCATGGTTGTCCATGACTGTTATTCTAGTACTCAGGTGGGTGGGGGGCACACACCTTTGATCCAAGCACTTGAGAGGCAGAGACAGGAGGATCTCTGTGTGTTCAAGACCAACCTGGTCTACATAGTTCCAGGAAGCCAGGACTACATAGAGAGACCCTGTTACAAACAGACAAAGAAAATGCCTAGTACTCAGACAGGTGAAGAAAAAGGACCCCAGGTTTAAAGTTCATCTGGGCTACCGTGAAACCCTGTATCCAAACAAAAAAATAAATGTTTTTTTTTTTTTTTTTTCAATGCTAGTTTGTGCAACACAAAGGTAACTGGTATTATCTCTAAAAACAATAATTAGTCTTTATTTTTAAAAATAAAACTGAAGACCTATTTGATTATTCCTGCCTCAATGGCCCAGGGGAAACCATATCTTCTCAACTGCTCCTCTAGTGTCTGCACGGCACGTGCCATTTGAAGAGTACCACGCTGTGGGCACCACCCGGCACTCTTGCCACACTGCTACCTACGTTAAAGTGATGTGCCGAACCTGACCCCTTCCTGCCAGGGAGCTGGTCAGTGTGTGCCTTTTCTCTCTCAGTAGGTCAGTTCTTGCACTCTCTCCCTCTCTCCCTTCTCTTTCTCTGTCTGTGTCACACACACACACACACACACACAGAGTCTCACACTGTAGCTCAGGCTGGCCTCAAGTTTATAATTCTGCCTAAGCTCCTGAGTGCTAGGATTGATTACACGTTAGCCGCCATGCCTGGCGCTCTTTTTAAATATACGCTATATTTCAAGGCATCTCTTGTGCTCTCAGTGCTGGGGAACAGGGCCTTGTTCCCTAATGCACAGTTTGTGAGTGAGTCTGGAAATGGACACCTTTGTTATCAAGGATGAATCTTCCTAGGTTGCTACAGAGAAGTCAAAATTGTTGGCTCTGCTCACTTAGATAGCTATTGCTAAGTACCATAAACTGCTATCTATGGTGTGTATAGCAGTTTCCATGACTGGAAGCCAACCAACTTATGGCAAGTGATAGTACCAAAGAAAATTTTAATACACATATATAAGGCATATATTATACATGTTTCTCTATATATAGGCATACACCCAAAGCAAAGGCTCAATATTCTAATATAAAGTTCCTGTGAATCAATAAAAACATGGCAAGCTGGATGCGCTGACGCATACCTATAATCCCAACACTCAGGAGGCTGAGGCCAGAGGATGGCTCCAAGTTGGAGGCTAGCCTAGACTACGTAGCAAGAACAAAAACATTTTAAATAGGTGTAAATAGGAAGGTCAAAGACAGGTGTGCAGTCTCACTAGTAAGCAGTGCAAAACAAACAAAAAAGCAGTTATAATTACACGGTTTTTGGAGACCAGGTCTCTGTAGCTCTGGTTGACCTGGAGTTCCAAGAGATCCTCCTGCCTTGGGCGCCATGACTAAAGGTGTGTGTAACTACACCTGGCACAGTTACACTTTGTACAGACTGGACTTCTAGAACTGAAATTCTGGAATAAAAGCCAGTATCAGTTAGACTTTGGGACTGGGCACTGTTTCTCCCCATTGTATTAGGGACTGAACGTACGGCTTTTGCATGTCAGGCAAGCACTCCACCATTGAACTACTGAAACGGGGTCTATGTTGCCCAGGCTGGCCATGAATTCCTCTGTAGCCTCAGCCTCCTGAGCAGCTGGTATTTCAGGCCTGCACTGCCAGGCCAGGCCTGGTAGTGGGTACTCTCCCATGCTGCCTGTAATGTAGTGCACTCACTAGAGTGCCCTCCATGGACTTCCTCAGACCCAGAGTAACCCTAAGGCAGGCCTAGTCTAATCATTCTAGGTGTGTGTGGGGAGGAGTGGGGACTGAGGAACAAGCAGGTTAAAAAAAGAGCATTGCACCAAGCTGATTCAGCTAGGAAACAGCTTTTGTTAGACACTCTATATTTTTTTCTAATACTTCAAAGTTTTGCTTTTTTTTTTTTGGTTTTTCGAGACAGGGTTTCTCTGTGTAGCTTTGCGCCTTTCCTGGGACTCACTTGGTAGCCCAGGCTGGCCTCGAACTCACAGAGATCCACCTGGCTCTGCCTCCCGAGTGCTGGGATTAAAGGCGTGCGCCACCACCGCCCGGCTAAGTTTTGCTTTTTTATATTTAGGTCTCTGTATCTTGAAATTTATCTTTGTCTGTGGGATATTGTCAAGATATAAGCTTTATTTTCTTCCAAATGGATAGCTGTTTCTACAAGGACTAACTTCTATGATCACCTGTCCAAGCTCACAGTCTTCAGCCCTCCTAAGCCTCCCTTCTGGCTCCCATACTGGCCAGACGTGGGCTTTTCTGGGCATTCTGGCCCTGGTCCCATCCGGATGATGCTGAGCAAGGCAGGGTGTGGAGAGCTAGTCTGTGTACTCTTCAAGGGCAGCCAGAGACAGGAGGAGGAACCTCAGCTGGCCAACAGGTCCCGCAGGCCACTGTTGCAGGGCAGCAGGTCACATGCTAGGCGTGCTTTGCGATCCCGGACAGCCTTCAGGGCTGGGCTGTGTTCTAACAGGAGGGAGCAAATGTCCTCGTGACCCTTTTCTGCAGCCTGTGGAGAGAGAGGCCTGAATCAAAAGACATACCTGAGCTGGGCCCTGCATGCTCTCACTTCCCTTTCCCTTAGAAAGGTCTCCTGGAAACAGGCACCTCAGATGTGTGAGCAGAAACCTTACCAAAGCCCCAGGCCTTATACACAGGCTTGTGAAGTACCTGGGACCGTTTGGGCAGCTAGTCAGTATAAGGAACTGTTCTGGAACTCTCCATGTAGACCAGACTGACCTTGAACTTTTGGCAATCCTCCTGCCTCTGACTTCCAAGTGCTGGAATTATAGGTATGAGCAGCCATGTTTGGGCCTTTGTGCATGTCAGGCAAGCACTCCACCACTGAGCTACACCCCCTCTTTTTATCTTTTGAGACAGGGTCTCACTATGTTGTTTGCTCATGTTTATGTCTTTTTTTTTGAGACAGAGTTTCACTATGCATACCAGGCTGGCCTTTAGTTCACTAATACCTGCCTGCCTCTGCCTCCGGAATGCTGGAATTAAAGGCATGTGCCACCACTCCTGATCTCTTATTTATTGTTGTTTATTTTGGCTTTTTGAGACAGTGCCTCACTCTGTAGTTCAAGTTAGCCTCACACCCATAATTCTCCTGTCTTGGCCTCCTAGGGTCTAGGATTACAGTTACGTGCTACTCTCCCACCCAGCTTAGCTTGAATTTTTTTTAATATCCTTTGCCCAGTCATCATTCTGGTCTTTATTTAGCTGTCCCACAATCACCCATAACCCCAGCACTGGAGTGAGTGAAGACAGGAGGATCTCGGGGGCTTGCTGGCTTCCAGCCTAGCTGAGAAAATTTGAGTTCAGGAAGGGACGCTTATCTCCAAGGAAAAGGCAGAGATGGAGTAGAATTCCGAGTGCCTATTTCTGGCCTCTGTGTACAGGCACACAAATGTGCATCTGCACACAAGTGTGTGCATACACTCACAGATATATAGACGTAAATAGGTCATATTTTTGTAATTATGTGTATGTGAGGGCGGATGTGTAGATGTGTGCAGATGCCTGCAAAGGTCAAAAGAGGGCAGCAGATTCTCTAGAGCTGGAGTTACAAGTGGTTGAGAGCCGGGAACTGAACTTATGTCCTCAGCAAGAATAGTACACACTCTTGGGCTGGAGATGGCTCAGAGGTTAAGAGCATTGGCTGCTCTTCCAGAGGACCTGAGTTCAATTCCCAGCAACCACATGGTAGCTCACGACCATCTACAATGAGATCTGATGCCCTCTTCTGCCATGCAGGCAGAACACTGTATAGATAATAAATACATTTTAAAAAAAAAATAGTACACTCTTAACCACTGAGCCACCTCTTCAGTCTCCACAAATCAGTAAACTAAGTTCTTTTTTTGTTTTGTTTTGTTTAAAGACAGGGTTCCTCTGTGTAGCTCTGGCTGTCTTGGAACTTGCTCTATCGACCAAGCTGGCCTCTGCCTCCTGAGTGATGGGATTAAAATGTCCACCACCACCACCACCACCGCCAGGCTATTAGTAAGGGTTCTGTTTGTTTGTTTTTGTTTTTCGAGACAGGGTTTTTCTGTGTAGCTTTGTGCCTTTCCTGGAACTTGCTTTGTAGACCAGGCTGGCCTCGAACTCACAGAGATCCACTCACCTCTGCTGGGATTAAAGGCATGCGCTACCACCGCCCGGCAAGTCTTTTTAAAAAAGAGAAGACTGGGGCTGGAGAGATGGCTCAGTGGTTAAGAGGTTCAGAGGTCCTGAGTTCAACTCCCAAAAACCACATGGTGGCTCTCAACCATCTCTGGCGCTTATTAGCTAAATCTTTAAAAATAAATAAATAAATAAATAAATAAATAAATAAATAAATAAATAAATAAATAAAAGAGAAGACTCAAGCTTCCACAGCTGTCAAGGATTTAACAAAACCCAGCCTTCAGCTAGCTGTTCACTGAGCACCTGTCCAGTGTGCTAAGGCATCCACACACTTGACAAAAACAGGTCCCAGCTGCTGCCTCTGAGACGGAATTCAAATAGAATCCCGAGATGAACAGTTAGCTTAGTAAGATTTCTGTAGCTGGGATAGAACACCATGACCAAATGTAACTTGGGGAGAAAAGGCTTTATTTCAGCACTGGTTGTTGCTTATCAGGAAGGGATGTCTGGGCCAGAACCTGGAGGCAAGCTAAAGCTGAAACCATGGAGGGGTGCTGCTTACTGACTTGCTCCTCATGGCTTACTCAGCCTGCTTGTCTTTTTTTTTTCTCTTCTTCTTCTTTTCCTCCTCCTCCTCCTCCTCCTCCTTCATCTTCTTTTTCAAGACAGGGTTTCTTTGTGTAGCCTTGACTACTCTGGAATTCACTCTATAGAGCAGGCTTGGCCTCGAACTCAGAGACCCACTTCTGCTTCCCAAGTGTGTGGATTAAATGCATGCACCACCATGCCTGGCTTTTTAAAGATTTTTTTCTTTTTATTTTATATGTTTGTGTGTATTTTGCTTGCATGTAGGGAGTCAGATTCACTGGAACTAGAGTTACAGATGGTTTGAACCACCCTGTGGGTGCTGGGAATTGTACGGGTCCTTTGTAAGAGCATCCAGTACTCTTAACCAGTGAGCGCTCTCTCCAGCCCCTGGCTTGCTTTCTTATACTATCCAGGGCAACCTGCCCAGGGATAGTGCTGCCTCTAGTGAAGTGAGCCCAACTACATCAATGATTAATCAAGAAAGCGCACCCCAGACTTGCCTATACAATCTAGGGAGGCATTTTCTCAGTTGAGAGTCCCTCTTCCCAAATGAGTGTAGTTCATGTCAAGGTGACGTAAAACTAACCAACATACCAGGAGTCAGAAGGCCAAACGCAGGGCACGAACAGCTGGGAATGTCTGGGGACCAGGCAAGGTTCTACAGAGCGGCTCTACAAACCACAGTCCAGAAAGGAGGGTAGAAGCAAAGTCTATGAAAATTGGAAGGGGGGAAAGCTGGATGTGGTGGTGCATGCTTAAAATCAATTCTCAGAAGCCAAGGGCAGGAGGATTGCCACAAGTCTGAGAAGAGCCTGATCTGCTGTAGGAGTTGACAACCTGCTACCCGGGTTAGCCAATGCGACACAGTAAAACTCTGGTGGGAGGGGGAGAAAGGGAGGCACAGAGGAGGGCAGGGGGTGTGGAGAGGCATCCACTGGGGAGAGTTTGTGCTCCACAGTGACAGTGAGCACAAGAGGGTGAAAAAGACCAAAAAGCCTGAACACAGGGACCAAGGCTGAGAGCCGAGGACAATACCGAGGCCAGCAGGGGCTGAACCAGGCGGCTTTGGAGGAGAGCTCCTTGGGCTTGGAAAAAGCAAGCTTGGGGGGATGGGGGGTGGGGATCCTATGGAAGGTAGGGTTTGATGGGAACTCTTTTAAAGCCACAGTACTGGTGGAAAATCAGAGTTGGGGCAAGGAAGGACTCTATCTATAAACGTATGCATGAATCACATCTCTAAGATGCATATGTGGGTTGGGCATATAGTTCATTGGTAAAAGACTTGTCTAGCAATCCCCAGCACTTAATAAATAAATAAATAGATAGATAAATAAATAAATGAAAGAGGAAGGAAAGGAGGGAGCGAGGGAGCAATTCATAAAGTGGATGCCTGGAGGAAAGAGCCTAGAATACAGAGCCCCAAAAAATGACCTAGAAAGTGGGTAGTAGAGGGGTCAAGCTGTACTGGTTTCAAAAAGCTGATTCCATGGGAAAGCCTTCACATGGCCGCTGAGGGAGAGAACTAATTCACACACAGAGAAGAGCGGCTGGAAAACACTTTCCTAAAGTGGTGGCAGGTGAGCCCCGAGTGTCCAGGTGGCTTTTCTTTCCCACATTTTTCTGTTTTCTACAACGAGTGCTGTGATGGTTAATCTTGGTTGTCAACTCCTAGGGTTGAGTCCCCTCGAAGACACACTGAGGGGTGTGAGGGCATTTCTAGAGAGATTTCACCTCATGAGCTGAAGTCCCGGCTCAAGGTCGAGTACCCGCATTCACTGATCTCTGCTTCTTGACTACAGACAACGATGTGGGTGCAAGATGGCTCAGAAGGTAAAGGCACTGCCACCAAACCTGTCCACATCAGTTTGAGGCCCCTGGTCCCATGTAGTGGAAGGAGAGAATTGACTTCTGAAAGCTGTCCTCGGATTGTTCCATGCCCACCGCTCCCCCCGCCCCCAACAAATACAGATATCCTATGGCCAGCCGCCTCACGTTGCTAGCCTCCTACCGCCATTGCCTACTTGCCAAGATGGACTGCATCCCCTACCTTGAGCTGTGGGCCAGCATACACCCTTGCTTCTTGAAGCTGCTTCTGTTAACTTTATCACACGGGTGTGGTGGCACACCGCCTTTAATCCCAGCAGCTGGGAGGCAGAGGCAGGTGGATGTCTGTGAGTTCAAGGCCAGTCTGCTCTACACAGTGAGTTCTAGGACAGCCAGGGCCACATAGAGAGACCCTGTCT